GTCTAGGATCAGCGACCGGAGAAGAGATCTTATCAATATATTCGTTCTACTTTACTTCTATCTTTACAAGCCTTCTTGACTATCTCCGAGACAGAAGATTATAGGGCCTAGTATATACTCGCTAGACTTTAGAGTTACCTACCCCCTAACAGTTGGCCATTATGTTGCTGACGTCCTTTTGGTGCTGTTTCATATCCTTGAAGTATATTAGTACATCGTCTAAGTAGACGATGCAACATATATCCAAGTACTTGTGGAGTACTTTGTTGATCCATCGTTGGAATGAGGCGGGTGCATTGGTTAGTCCGAATGGCATAACCAAGTATTGGTAGGTCCCATATTTCGTCGCGAATGTTGTTTTCCATTCATCTCCTTTCTTGATTCCAACATTGTGATAGGCATCCCGAATGTCCAGTTTGGTGAAGTATTTGGCTAACGCCAGTCGATCCAATGCTTCTCCTATTAGAGGTAGGGGATATCTATCCTTTTTTGTTATGTGATTGAGTGCTCAGTAATCAATGCATAACCTTAGTTTTCCATCCTTTTTTTTGATAAACAGGATGGGTGATCCTCCGTTGAGGTAGGATGGCTGAATCCATCCTCTTTCCAAGTTCTGTTGAATGTATTTCCTTAGTTCTTCGAGTTCTGTTTCTCCTAGTGGATATATTCTCTTCTGAGGCAGTCCTTTGCTAGCTTCCTCGAAATTGATTTCCAAATCGACATCTGGCCTGTGGGGAGGTAACTTGGTTGATTCCTTTTCTTGGAATAAGTCTAGATGTTGATGGTATTCCTTGGGTACCAATCGGTCTAGTTTTTCGTCCTTTGTCTGAGGTCGACTTCTTATGGCTAGCTCTGTACTGATATTGATCTTTGCTAGGCTTGTTCCTTGGTTTTGATAATCCCATTTGAGAATTCCTGCCGTTTCTCCCTTGCGATAGAATTTCCCGAAGGCTTGCGCCAATATCCTGTTGATTTCAATCCTTGGTACTTTCTCTGGTGGCGACCTCTTCTGATCTGTGCTGCCGAACCCTTTGGTTTCTCTGGTGGTTTTGGTCAGGTTCTCCACTTCTTGGAGTTCCTCTTCATTGATTTTTTCAATAATCAATTGCGCGATCTTATCCCCTCTTTTCACCATATAGTCTTTGTTGTCCTAGTTGACTATGACCACCTTCAATTCACCTGTATAGTTGGCGTCTATTACTCCAGCATTGGTAGTGAGTCTGTGTTTGACTGCGAGACCGCTGCGTGGTGCTATACGCCCATAGGTTCCTTGAGGTAACTCAATGGTTATGCCTGTTGGAATGATTACTTGCCTGTTGGCCGGTATCTTGACTTCTTTGCTGGCATACAGGTCGTGTCCTACTGCCCTCTCGGATCCTCTTGTGGGTATCTTTGCTTCTTGGCTTAACTTCTTAACTTTGATCCTTGGATTCTTCCTTGGTCGAACTTGATTGAACCTCGCGTCTAGGTTCTCTTGGATTGCTTCTTCTTCTGGTATTGCGTATATTACCAGCGAGCTGTTGAGACACCATGTCGTACATCGTTCACTGGTAAAAGCAACCTTTCCTTCTTCCCAACTGATGGTAGGGTTGTGTTGTCGTAATCATGGCATCCCTAGGATTATCTCATGGTGTTGCAGGTTCACCACTTGGAAGGTCGCCACTTCCTTATGATTCCTAATGTTCATAGGTACTTGCGCTGTATGGGTAATCGGCCCCATATCACTGGGTTTTCCATCTGCAAGGTAAATCTGCCTTTCTTTCTTCATTTTCTTAGTCCTCAACTCGTATTTCTTGCAGACTTCTTCATCTATGAAGTCTTCCGTTGCTCCTGAGTCGAGCATCGCATGTATCCTGATTGCTTGTTTTTTGTTGTATATTGTGGTTTCGATCATGATATGATCATTGTCGTTATTGTTTTTCTAACTTAAAAGAGTATAGTAGTTGGCCATCGAGATGGGTTTGTCTTTCGGAGGGTCCTGCAGACCATCTATTGCTGGGGACCTTCATCTTTTGCTACCGTTTCGTATTCGTCTTCGATATCGATCTCCCTTATATTGCTGCGGGGTTGGTCTCTAGTGTTTGGCCTAGTATTTTGTTGACCTCTTCCTTGATTTGGGTTGGCCGCCCATCTGCAATCCTTTATCATGTGCCCTGCTATTCCGCATCTTAGGCACAGGTTGTTGTTTCGTCTTCTAAGATATTCGTCTCTTCCGAGGTTGAGCGACGGTCTTTTCCTCGTTACGTCCAGGTCCATTGCATCACCTCCTTGCATGGTGGTCCTATAGGTCCCATTCTGGTTCCTAGGCGTGTTTTGGTTTCTGGTGTATGTTTGGTTAGACTGGGTTGAGGCTGATTGAGTCTTCTGTATCCAGTCTAGTTGTCCAAATTGAATTTCTTTTTGAATAGCCCAGTTGGCCATGGCTTCCGTAGTTGTGAATTTTTCCTCACTGTATCTCCATGCTTCTTGATAGGTCCTCTTCAGACCTTTCATGAACCACCTCATTGCTGTTGCTTCGTCACATTTGGCATCATACTGGAGAAGTCTGAACTCGTACCAGTAATCGGTGACATTCTTTGTCCCTTGTCTGATATCTTCCAATTTGTTCCGTGCTGATTGGCTCAGTTCCATATTCATAAATTGGGCTTCGAATATAGTCTTGAAACTGTTCCACGTGGTCCATGGTACTGGTGTCTGACTGAGCACCACAGGAGTAACCCACTGTAGGGCTGCTCCATCGAGTAGTGTCAAGGTATAATGTATCTTGTCGTCATCGTATTCTTGGTTCCATCCTACTGCATTGAAGTATGTGAGGAGTTGGACCATAAATCCTCGTAATTTACTTCTTTCACCATCGTATCTTGGTGGTGTTTTGACTTTTGACTTCTGATCTTTGTTTCGGAATTCTTCTCGTATCATCTGTTGCACTTCTTCACGAGTGAACAGGGCTGGTCCCGCTGGTGGCGGTCCTGGTGGCCATGCTGGTCCTGACATTCTTTTCGGTCTTGGTGTGTCTGGAGTTTCTTCTGGTATGGGTGGAGTGATTGGTTCTGGGGTGACAGGACTTGTTGATCTTGCTGAGTGTCGGCTTGCTTCGCTAATTGCTTCTTCCAATCCTCCTAGTCCTAGGCTGTCGTCTTGGACATCTATGTCTCCCTCCTGATCTCCGTTGAAAGGATCCGTGATGTAATCGTTAAGTGTCGTGTTGCAGACACATTCTAATATTAAGAATCCTACCGAGTAGGACCTAGCGACAGGTAACGATACTTCTCTGTAAGGTGATAGTTCTCAGACCTGTGTCTACGCGATCCCGATAGTCCAGTCCTATGACTACTATCCCGTTCGCGCCTATCTCCTTATTCTTTTCCTTAGTCCTCGCGCAGGACCTAATCTCCTCCTATGAGAGGAAAGACAATTCTTGGGTTTCTTAAGATAAATCTTAAAAAGTGTAAAGGTAGGTTTTATTGATAATAACTTAAAGGTAGGAAATAAACAAGAAGAACGTGTGAAGAGCTCATACTTGGGGTCCTAGTGACTCTTTATATAGTCGCTCTTCACCTGACGTGACTCACACCTTGCGTCACACAAACCCTGTGACTCATAACCTGAGTCATATGAAATCCATCAGACGACTCTTATGAGTTACTACACAACATGCCTAAACCAATCAAAACATAATAACCAAATCAGGTACGCAACTCGCGTCACCTGAGTGAAACCCATGACTCATAAATATGAGTCATGTGCAAAAATCATAACATCGTGTGACTCACAACTATGAGTCATAAACAGGTAAACATAATAACCTATAGCGCACTAGTGTGCATCATGTGAAATCCAACATACCTATAACTCGGAAATCTGAGCTATGTGAAATCTACCTTGCTTAGTCACAGTTTGGGACACTAGAGTAAAGAACATTTGGTGGCTGTGGCAATAATCTAGTATAGAACTACTACCTAACATCAAATTTGAGATATATAGGACACAACCAAACATGGTACCTGAGTACAGAATACAATTAAACATAGCAGTTAAGTACAGGATACTCCAAATACAATCAGCTATGACATCTAAGTATACAATGGGTAGGACATGCCAGATGGAGAATCTAGCCTACTTGTATCAAGACACAACTCCTATATGTCTGATGTAGGAATAATTTTTACTGATATTTAGAGCTACAGTCTTTACTCTCCTTATTACTATCATATAATTATCAGATAAAATAGAGGAAGGAAGAGTAGTAGAAGAGATTTCTGAGAACTTGAATGTATCTACTACTCATTATAATATGATTTCTTAAGAATTATTAAGTTGAAAAATAATGGTTTAAATATAAATAGAAGTAAGGATAAAGAGAATAGTGGAGGAAAGGATAACTAAATATTTTCCTTTAAGTTCTATTTAGTATACATCATTTTAAAAAGTATTAGACAATTGAATTCCATGCAAAATACTCTAAACTCTTATTGTATTACAAAAAATACAGAATTAAAAAATAACTATTATAATATCATTCTTGTGATATGCTGAACAGGACCTTGCTCTCCTTTTTATTCGAACAGGAAATACCAAGAACATTCTACAACCAATATTGAGAGTTCCTGCATAGGACCAAGAAAGATACCAGAAGTGTGTGTGTGGTCTAAAAATTGCATATTCACAGGAATAAATGTTTTGCATAGGACCGCATCGGAAACAGGCAGAACGATAACCATTATCACGTCTCATACTATCATATGCCAGTGATAAGGCTAAAGGGTGACAAAGGAGCAAGGGCCAGAAGAGGTCATTTGCAAAATCTGGAATGTAAGTTCCGATGGATGGTTCGGTTCAAGTACTGTACTCGAGTGCTAGTACAGTACGGTAGTTACAATATCATTCATACATGACCCAGCCCGTCTCAGAAGGCCCACCCCTTCAGAGAGTTATGTGTGTTCACTCGCTGTCTTTAGGAGAGTGAAGCAACGGAGACCTCCCGACAAAATCGCGAGTGTCTCACAACTCTGTAATATAGCTATCGCCTGTGCCCGACAGCCCGGAATAGTCTACATCTGACTTCTCTATATATCCGTAAAGTATGGTACTTTCTCCCTCCGAGCACGAGGATAGCACCAAACCCGGGAGCCGAGGGCTTTTTCCCTTCAGCCATAGGCATGAGAACAAAAAAGGCGGTTACATCCGCCGCACCCGCCTGCTCGCACCTCCGGTTTCCACTTTCCAAACCAGGTCTTGTCTTGACTTTTCCGGGCTGTTCGTCATGGGCTCGAGCAAAAGAAAAAAAATGGAAAGGGGGAAAACTTTCTTTTTTTCTTTCAGGAACGGATTTCCGAGGGCGGAAAAAGAAATGAAAAAAGAGGGTAAGAAAGAAAGGGTAATCTTTTGGAGAATCCCTGCGTGGATTGGATTGACTTCCCCTGCTTACACTGTAGGTATGTGCTGTATGATGACATCCAGCAGCAGGGAGAGAAGGGATGGATAACGGTACTCGTTAGAGGCAAAAAGCACCCGAAAACAGGGTACAAGTACGCTTTGTATGGGCGCCCAGATACCCACAGACTCTTTTGCCACATCTCTTTCATCCCTGTTTCCGGGCACTTCTTAGACGACCACTCGAATAATCTACTGCTACCTGTAGGAGTACGGTAATAAGTTGAGTATAGTTTGGTAACAGCCTTATGCATGCAACTCCTGAAGGTCGTTATTGGTAGCGCTTCTACTCGTACCAAACCGAAGAAGGCGCAGGGGCGGAGCGCAGAGGATACCGGTATTCTGTTTCCAGACACCTGTGATGAGAAGCTAATTACCGTGCTGAACACAGACTGCAAATACGCAAACGAAAGTAATGATAACGGTGGTAATAACGATAGATCACTGAAGAGGATTTATCTCGTGCTACCGGTGACTTGTGGACTGAATAGCCGTCGGCAATCCCATCCACCATCAGAATTGAAGCCGAGCTCGAAAAGTCCTTAATTCAGTGTTAAATTAGATTTACCAGGAAAATTCACGGATGACAGACCAAAATAGATGGATACCAGTAGACTATTCCAGGCCATGATACCAGTATCCCAATTTACCAGCCACAGTTTGACCCCAACACACCAACCGAAACATAAATCATCATTAGCGAAGTCGGGGTAGGTTAAAACTAGAATTCTAGCTCTCCTCATTCGAGCAAGGGGAGAAGGGGAGAGAGAGAGCACAGCCTGAGATCCCCCCGTGAGTATGATATGAGGAGAAACACATCAATAATAATAATAATAATAATAATAATAATAATAATAATAATAATAATAATAATAATAAAACACGCCGGCATAGTGTATTCCGGTATGATACTCGAAGATGAATCCCATACGGAGTAGTGCACAAAACACTACCGTAGTATGACACCTACCTCGGGAAATGAGAGTAATCCCGGAACCAACCCAAAATTCAATAACCATTCACCCACACCTGGGTTTCCCTTTGTTCAAAACGGACACCACCGCCCTCCCCCTTCCCCCCGAGTCGTATCGGTCAGTACCACACCCAAACCACCATAGGATATCATACATATCCCGCGCGTAGAACCCATGAGCTTCCAGACTACCGGTATGGTACCAAGACTCGTACGAATGAAGGCGTCAGAAAAATCATTTCCCCGGCCAGGTTCTACCTGCTGTGGCGGTGCTTGCTATATGTGGTGATCATCATCGTCGACGACGAGAGGTTGTCCGCAGTAGTGACCTGTTCCGGCAGGGCTTGTACTATACCGCATCATATCGTGGGGTTCATACGTTCCTTAACTTGTGATACCGATCGTGAAGAAGTTGGGACGTGGTGAACTGGCTCGATTGGGGGAAAGTGTGAGATTTGGGCGATGTGGGGTTGCGGGTGCATTTATAACTCGATGGATTGGTGGTTGGGTGAGGCGAGTGATTTTGTGTGAGTACTTGCTGCGGGGGGAGAGTTTTTTTTTTCTAGTGGAGGAATCAGCGTTGCAGTGGGTGTGTTGGCTGGTATTCGGTTACTGCCGTTGTGGTGTGATATATGATAGTACAGTAGGAATTCACAAGTGATGCAGATAGATGATATGAGGGGAAAGAAATTTACAGATTTTGATAGGTTATGATACCGTATCGGTTCGGCCACTATGCACTTGGGTAGTCTAAATGTTATGAACATAGAATACAAAACTGCATCATTAATCGAATGAACAAAACTCCGTCCCTATGCAAACAACAACATTTCAATCCTATATTATGATACGGTGATCGCAATCACGCCCCAACCTGAGCCTTAACCTTCTCCAGCAACAATGCACTCTGCCTCCCAAGCTTCTGTTGCCCCTTTGCCGTGCGAGCACTCATAACCTTCTTCCTGAGCGCCCTCTCCTTCTTCGACTTCTCCATTGCAGCCTTCCTGGCCTCGATCCGTCTCTCCTCCTCCTTCCGTTCCTCCCTTAGTCTGGCTGCCTCCCGCTCCTCCTTCAGAAACGCGGAAGTCTTCTTCCTTCTCTCCCGTTTTTTCCAAGCACCTTTACCCACGTTTTTAGGGTCCTCCACACGTGCCGCCTCTGGTTGGTCCAGCGCTGCTCGTCGCTCGGGGTGCATTTCTGTAGTCGCTGTAATAGCATTCCCATCCTCGCCATCTTTGATCCCTGCGGATTTGGCTCGCTCCCGCTCAGCTGCGGCCTCTTCTAGTAGCCTTTTCGCACGGATGGCGTGAGGATCTGTGTCTGGCGCGTCTCCCGGTATTATTTTCGCGAATGATTTCTTGACCTTTGCTTTGTGGATGAGGGATTTTTTTATTTTGTCGGCTATTTTGTGTGTTAGTTTAGCTTCCCCGGAATTGGAGGACGGGAGAGAGGAGGGACACCTTTTCGCTTATATGTCCCATCGGGCAGGTTTGCAGGGCCGACGCTGAAGGCTTTCTTGCGTGGTTTGGCTGATAGTGGTGGTTTCCCCATGTTTGCTTGCTTCCGTTTTTGAAGGGATGGGATGGTGAACTTTGAGAAACCTTCTTTTGTGGGGGGCGCTTCTGGCTTAACACGAGGCTGAAGTGGGATGATCATAAATCTTGGCGATGGGTGTCTTGGCGATAGTTAAACTTTAAGTTAAAAATTTCTTTTCCACTCAACGGGGAATTGAACTACTAGGACGCTTGCTTCCTTTTCCTCCGTAGGATATCACCTCGACCATAATATTGCTCGAGATATGGTTAAATCATATTTGTACCTTCTTCTTCTATTTCCCCAACCGTCCCTAGCGAATTCCCCGCTAATTGAACGCTGAAACAGACGATTCGAGCACTCCTCAACCTTCGGCGTTGTAGTTACAGGAACAGCAAACACCGTCTGGGCCGCCGAAGCAACGGCCCTCGCACAAACAAAGACCACCAGCGCCGGCCGAGCGATCGCCCCCGCGAACGAGGAAGTGCTGGTATGGGATATCAAGAAAGGCGAATTCCTCTCGCGCTGGCGGGACGGAAAATGCAAAGCGGTGGTCTCGGCCATTGCCCAGTCCCGGACGGATAAGGATGTCTTCGCAGTCGGCTATGCCGATGGGTCGATCCGGTTGTGGGATTCGAAGACTTCTACGGTGGTTATCTCGTTCAATGGGCATCGGTCGGCGGTTTCTGCCTTGGCGTTTGATCACTCGGGGACCAGGCTTGCGAGCGGGTCGAAGGATGCGCATGTGATTGTCTGGGATCTGGTTTCTGAGGTGGGGCTGTACAGGCTTAAAGGTCATAAAGATCAGGTCGCGGAGGTTGGGTTTTTGAAAGGTCCTGAGGAAGTGGAGGGGGGGAATGCGGAGGGCTGGCTCGTTAGTGCTGGGAAGGATACGCTAATCAAGCTGTGGGACCTCTCGACGCAGCATTGTGTCGAGACACATGTTGCTCACCATGGGGAGTGCTGGGCTATGGCGTTATCACCGGATGAGAGGGGTTGTATCACCGCTGGGAATGGCGGGGAGTTGAAGGTTTGGGCTATCGATACTGCGGGATTGGCATCGAGGGTTAGGGGAAGGTCGGATTGCTTGATTGACCGGGGGACCCTATACCGGCAGAACAAGGATAAGGCCATATCTGTCACTTTCCATCCAAATTCGAACTTTGTTGCAAGTCATGGTGCGGATAAGAGCGTTGAAATTTGGCGGATACGGACAGAGGATGAAGTTAAAAAGGCGTTGAAGAGGAGGCGGAAGCGGAAGGAAGGGAAGGAAAGCAAGAGGGATAAAACGGAGAAGACGGGGGGAGAGGGTGATAATATTGCGCATGCTGAAGTTGCAGATATCTTCGTTTCGTATGTCGCTGTGCGGACAGGTGGGAAAGTCAGGTCAGTTGATTGGACCACCCGGGGTGGTAAGAATGCTGTACAGATCCTAGTGGCCTGCACAAACAATACACTAGAGTACTACGATATACGAAAACCTGCAAAAAAAGAGGGAAGAAAAGAGCAGGAAGTCCCGGAATATAACAAACTATACGCCGTTGAGCTTCCGGGACACAGGACGGATATTCGTGCACTGTCTTTGAGTTCCGATGATCGGATGCTTGCCTCCGCCTCAAGCAGCGCTCTAAAGATCTGGAATGTGAGGACTTCGGCTTGTATAAGGACTTTTGAGTGTGGCTATGCCCTGTCCTGCTCGTTTCTCCCTGGAGACAAAATTGTGGGTTAGGTCTATATAGGCTAGGGATTGAAGGCATTGCTAATGAGGATGATAGGTTGTTGTGGGCACAAAAACTGGAGAGATAGAGCTCTTCGATGTAGCTTCATCAGCAATGATTGAGAGTGTCAAGGCACATGAAGCTTCTATTTGGTCACTACAGGTCCACCCAGATGGCAAGAGTATTGTTACCGGAAGTGCAGATAAGAATGCCAAATTCTGGGACTTTCGGATTATGCAGGAGAATGTTCCCGGGACCAAGGTATGTTTGGACTACCGCCATAATATTCATGGGTTATCGCTAACACATATCAACCATGAAGCGAACAACGCCTCGGCTGAAGCTGGTTCAGACCCGAGTTCTCAAGTTGTCAGACGACATTCTAAGTGCCCGTTACAGTCCTAACGGGAAAATCCTTGCCCTAGCCCTCCTCGATAATACCGTCAAAGTCTTCTTCGCTGATACTCTTAAACACCTCCTTAATCTATACGGGCACAAGCTCCCAGTATTAAACATGGACATATCCTCGGACTCCAAACTTATCGCAACGTGCTCAGCAGACAAAAACGTCAAGATATGGGGCCTAGATTTCGGCGACTGCCACAAGAGTTTCTTTGCCCACCAGGACAGTGTAATGCAGGTAGTCTTCGAAAGAAACTCGCACAACTTCTTCTCAGCTGGTAAAGACCGTCTAATAAAGTACTGGGATGGTGACAAATTTGAAAACATCATTAAGATGGACGGCCACTTTGGCGAAATCTGGGCATTGGCCATAGGAAAGGTAAGTGAGATTGTCGTGAGCGCAAGTCACGATAAGAGTATACGAGTATGGGAACAGACAGATGATGAGGTACTACCCCCGTTCCTAATACAGCATTCTTCATGATATACTAACAAGAATTAGATCTTCCTGGAGGAGGAGCGCGAAAAAGAACTCGAAGAGCTCTACGAATCAACCCTAACAACCTCCCTCGGCCAAGACGAGACGCAGGACGAGAACGGCCCCGAGGTTACCTCTGCCGGGAAACAAACCATCGAAACACTCATGGCCGGAGAAAGGATTATGGAAGCCCTGGATCTCGGAATGGCTGACATGACCATGATGAAAGAATACGCAGCCGCCAAAATCGAGAAACCAAAGCTTGCCCTACCGCCTCGAAACCCATTGTACATTGCCCTGGGTGGAATAAGCGCAGAAACACATCTTCTGAATACAATCCAGAAAATCAAAGCAAGCCATTTACAAGACGCACTATTAGTCCTCCCTTTTGACAAAGTCGCTCCCTTCTTGATATTTTTAGACATCTTTGCCTCAAGGGTACCCCCCTCCCTCCTCCCAACCCCACAATCTTCTCCAATCACAAAAGCTAACATGCGCAAAACAGGAATGGAACATCCCACTAACCTGCCGCATCCTCTTCTTCCTCCTAAAAACGCACCACAAGCAGATCGTCGCGACAAAGACCATGCGCGTGCTCCTCAGCAGCATCCGCAAGAACCTGAGAACCGCGCTCAAGAGCCAGAAGGACCAGATGGGGTTCAATCTTGCTGCGGTCAGGTTCGTCAAGAATAGTGTTGAGGCGGCGGGGAAGAGTGATTTTGTGGATGAGGAGGCTCTCAGGGAGATGGAGGAGAAGGGAAGGAAGAAGAGGGCTTTTGCCACTTTAGCTTAGAAGGAAGGGGGCATATGTAAAATAGATTATAGTAATATATGAATGATGGAGGGTCATAAAAGAAAAGCTCCGTTTTGGGTCTATTTTAAATTGTTATGGTGTGAGTGATGTTGGTGAGTCGCGGTGGCGAGAGCAGCTAATACCATATCGCCGCGATGCTTGGGTAGCAGGCTTCAGATAAATAGACCATCGCATCATACAATCGATTACGCATGGTAGCTTGTACTTGTACAGCACTACCGGTAGTATACTAATAGCTACCCCCGATACCGGGACCGTATTAACGTATTCTCCTTATACCGGTGTCTTGCCATGGCAGTATTGCACCCGTACCGTACTTGTAACCCAGTAACACTCCCCACCTGTCATATTAGAGCTAACCTCTCAAAGTATCCCTCATCACATGATAGCTCCATCCGGTTTCAATGTCTTGGCAGACGTTCCCTCGGCACCCGAAACGCCTTTACCAACGCGTCTTCCCATCGCACAACCCACCAAGCTACTTCTCCACACAATAGCCACCCTTAAGATTCACTACCATCGCGGCTCAATGTCCACTACCACCTCAGAAGACGATGACGATCTTGATCTCGACTACGTCTCAAGACCACTAAACCTCGGCGGCAGCTCCACAAGTAAGTTACCCCCTTATCTAAGCTGAGCCAGCTAGCCAGGCTAACATCCAAACCTTAGACACCACTACCACTGCTACTGCCCCAATTGAAGCTTCAACCGACGAGTCGGACGATGACTTGAACAATATTGCATCTAGACATGCCCCGCCATCATTTACAAATGCAGCGCAAGCAGGGGAAGATGAAGTAAGCCTCAAGGAAACCGTCCGCACAACGAAACACCAATCCGGGACCGGCGAGCGCATACTCATGACGGAAGATGAAGACGACGATGCGTACGAAGAATTCAAGCGCAAAAAGGATGAATCTGGTAAGCGGGGGGGGCGAAAGAAGCGGAAGGTGGATAGTTCTTGGAGGGAGGGAGGGGGAGTGGGTGGTAAGAAGAGGGTTAAGAATGAAGGGGCGGACAAGAAAGCCACGAACCAGCGACCCTGGAAGACTGCCTCTGATTCTTCCTCCGATCGGGATGATGAGATGGAGGCGGAGGTGGAAATAGGCTTGCCGGCGTACCTGAAGGCACGCAAGGATGCGGTTGAAGCTGCGAAGGCCGCAATCGAACATACGGACACGCCTCCGGATGCGCTAAGATTTCCACCGGATTATGGGGACGTATGCTTCAGCGATGATGAGAGACTGGTACCCCCCTCCCTCCCTTCCAAATGCCCATATTGACTATATGTCTTAGGGCGAGTTAACCTCCAAGCCAAACTTCAAAAACCTCCCCCCGTGCGCACCATACAAGGATATCCCGTTGGAAGACTCACTCGGTGTGATCCCCTGCTCGATAGCGCAGTACCTTCGCGACTACCAGGTCGAGGGTGCCGCCTTTCTGCACAAAAACTTTGTCTTCCAGGAAGGCTGTATACTGGGCGATGACATGGGCCTCGGCAAGACGGTGCAGGTGATAGCCTTCCTGACGGCCGCCTTCGGCAAGACCGGCGACGAGCGGGACCGCAAGCGGATGCGGAAGATGCGCCGGGGTAGGGGGAGGGAGAGGTGGTTTCCCAAGGCCATTGTCGTGTGTCCCGGTAGTCTGATAAGTAATTGGCAGCGGGAGTTCGATGTCTGGGGGTGGTGGAATGTGTATGTTTATCACGGGAGCAAAGAACGGAAGGAGAGCGCGCTGGAGGCGGCCAGGGCGGGTAGGTGTGAGGTCCTGATCACGACTTACGGGACGTATAAGAAGGCATGCGGGGATATTAATATGGTAGAGTGGGATTGTGTTATTGCGGATGAGTGTCATCAAATTAAAGGTACCATCACTCGGTCGCTCGCGATAATTGGGAGGATTGAACTGATGGGTGGGGGTGTTAGATAGAAGAACTGAAGTGACGAAAGCTATGAACGAGATCAATGCGCTTTGTAGAATTGGTCTGACGGGGACTGCTATCCAGAATAACTATGGTAATCCTAACCATCCACCCCACAGACCACCGACGCAACGTCTAACATAGAGCAAATAGAGGAACTCTGGACACTCCTAAACTGGTGCCGACCCGGCAGCATCGGAACCCTGGCAGAATGGAACAGAGCCATAGCAATCCCCCTCAAAATCGGACAATCCCACGACGCTACGCTCAGACAGATTGGCAATGCTAGGAAGATCGCAAAACGCCTCGTAAACAATCTACTAGGAAAGATGTTCCTCCGCCGCCTGAAAACCCTGATAGCCCACCAACTGCCCAGAAAAAGTGACAAGGTCGTCTTCTGCCCCCTGACCGAGGTGCAGAGGAAAGCGTATCAGGGATTTTTGGACAGCGAGATGGTGCAGAATATCAAGTACTCTGGCCAGGTCTGTGATTGCGGGAGGCTGAACAAGAATGGGGAGCCCGCGAAGAGGGGGAGTTGTTGCTATGTCACCGACAGCAAAGGGAGGAAGTGGAGGGAGATGGTATTTCCATGTATCCAGCAGATACAGAAGCTCAGCAATCATCTTGCTAACTGGATTCCCCGTAGGTATTCGCTAATGCAATAGACCAGTGTGAGGTCGGTGCTAAGGTTTCTCCGCAGAAAACGAGGATAACCAAGAAACCCGAGATAAGAAGCGGGAGCTACTAGAAACATGTCTCCCCGACGACTACGAGCGCATAATCAATAGGGAAATGTTGACAAACTTCATGGACCCCGAAATGTGTGGGAAATGGATCGTAACTGGCCCCGGAGTGTAATTGTTGCCCACAGGATAATGCTGACGATATACCAAACAGGTCTTGCAGAAGCTCTTGAAATTTTGGCACCAAAGTGATGACAAAGTCCTGATATTCTCTTATAGTCTCCAGCTCCTCAGGATTCTGCACAGGCTGTTCCAGAGCACCGAGTATAACGTTTGTTATTTTGACGGGTCCATGTCATTGGATGATCGTAAGCGTTCCTCCCTAGAAAGGATTAGACAAGCCTAAATTAACGGCCATCTCCAGGCACAAACGTGGTTGCCGAGTTCAATAGCGACCCTTCACGATTCGTCTTTTTAATTTCTACGAGGGCTGGAGGTGTTGGGTTAGTCGCCGTTCCCATACTCGAAAGTTAATGATGGGGCATGCTACTGAATGAACCAGACTGAACATCACAGCCGCAAACAAAGTAGTCATTTTCGACCCTAATTGGAATCCTAGGTGTGAGAACACCTCCCCCCTATCCTATATAAACGACATTGACCCCTTCATTTTCTCAGTTACGATCTCCAAGCTCAAGATCGCGCATACCGTATCGGGCAAACCCGAGATGTTGAGGTCTTCCGACTTATCTTAGCTGGAACTATCGAGGAGATAGTCTATGCCCGTCAAATTTACAAGCAACAGCAAGCAAATATTGGCTACGGTGCCTCTGAGGAGCGCCGCTACTTTTCCGGCGTTCAAGGTGACAAAACAAACCAGGGAGAACTATTTGGCCTCGTCAACCTTTTCACGTTCCAGGACAACACGATCCTGAAAGAGATTGTGAACAAGACAAATGTTGCGGAGTCGAGAGCTGGCGTTCAAGTTGTCGGGATGGAAACCAGCAACGAAGAGGCAGAAGATGTAGAGCTCGACGACGACCACGAAGGGGAAAATGCCATCAGTCAGCTAGCAGCTATAGCGAAAGGAGAACAGGCAACCAAGAAAAGTAACAGACCATAACCACCCCATGTAAGAATCGCTAACAATATCATAGAGAAGGCACACAACCCTGTTGCCGCAATCTTAGCAGAAGCTGGCATCTCGTACACTCACGAAAACTCAGAAGTTATCGGCACATCAAAAATCGAAGCACAGATAAGCAAGCGCGCAGTCGAGACCACAAACGATGCCAATACCGGCGATCTCGTCGCCTTCGCCAGTGACTCCACCGGGTACAAGTTTCATCCGCCAATGCATGTTATGAAAAGGCAATTTTGCACCATGGCGAAGATGTTCCGCTTTGATGATGTTAGGGAGTTTGCGCTTGTCGTTGAAGGATGGACGCAGAAGCAGAGACGAGACGCCTTGGACAAGTTTTACAAGATGAGAAGGGATTCAACAGCTAAAGGGGAGGAAGCCAAATTAGAAGATTTCCCGGAAGAGAAGAAAGCCCATATTAAGAGGGAGGAGGGGACCGATAAGGGGAACATAAATAGTATCAAAGCGGAAGAGGATGAGGATGAGGATGAGGAAGGGGATGAACTGTAAAAGCGATAACCAATATTGTACAGTGCTGTATTACCATCTCTATTGTACAGACAGGGCTAGAGCGACAGGCATAATTTCCCGCCATCAGATCACTGACCTGCCAAGACACCCACGCCCAGCATAGGGTAAAGTACGAGTACGGAACCGCAACTACAAAGATCGCATGAGCGCTACCTCGTATTCCCTTACCCTCCATCCCTCAGACCCCGTATCCCCACCGCCCATCAGATTTCCCTTCCCGATCCTCAACAACTCCCATCCAGTCTATTCTTCTAGCATGTGCTGAAAGTGCGTATCCCAGAAGAAAGAAAACCGGGTTTGAGCAAAAGAAGGCAAGCTATATTTACCAAGCATATAATCCAACCGGGCTTCTCTTCGAGTAATTACCCTCAAAGGCAATCCCAAGCAACTCCGTTGCTTCAAAGGGGGCGCAAAACAGCCCAAGCCAACCCGATAGCGGTCCCAGACACAATCACAGACGGAAACACCTATCCAGTATATCAAGTGATAGCGAAGATTCTCAGCAAAACTGACCAAGACGCTAGCATAGGCAAATACCAGTAGAGCAAGTCCCCTGAACCTCGTTTCTAATGCTCCACTGATAGGTCGCAGGTCTCTTTGTGGTGGTAGGATCCGGATAGTTTGCAGATAACATGCCTCCATAAGAATTAGGTGAGTTATCGATCATGCATGCCGGTACTTATGGCCACAAGTGATAGCCACAACAATATTCCCTGGTGTGATAAATGAATTCCACCCCAGAAGAGCAGTCTATCTTCAGTTGGGTCGGAATATAAATAAGGCTTGCCGTTGGGGCAGCGGGTTGGGGCATTTGCTCCGGTATAATATCATATGATATCACACCGTAGCTCGAAGATCTCCACAGCACCCTAACCTTCCTCAAAAATCTATAATATTGTAGCTCCTGATCGGCGCAATATTCGGGTCACTGGCTCCGGCCCCAGTGGGGTTGGAGGGCTAATCCTTTGACCGGCGTCAAATACCTAAAGGCAACTTATCATATCATACCTCCGATAGATGAGTCGGTGCTGGGTGTCCTCGGAATGGTCGTGGGAGATTATCCAATCCCAGATTATAAGATGAACACTACTAGCCTATGATACGAGAAAAAGGCTATCATACAAGCGGAGTTGCCTGCTACTAATAGCATACGGTACTGCACACGTGATTCTCTGGAAGCCGTTCAAGCCATTGTGCTCGTAGACATGATATAATAGCAAGACTACCTCTTTCAGTCCCGACGGTTTGAAACGCTACGATGATCTATTATAGCTAGACTATTTATCATAGCAAATAATAAGAGATATGACGCCACCGGCTGCAGCAGTTGAGAAGCCCCGGGAGGTTCGACACATGACATGCCCCGCGCTCTGGTTGCCGCTCGAGAAATGGCTTTTCCCGACCGGTTCATTTATCCCGACATGGGGTGTCATAGCGAGTCCTTATTTGTAGGATGATATGGTTCCTGACAACCAAAACGTGCACCAGGAATTCAGCAATTTTCAAACCCTATAGGATCAGCACTTACTATATCTACTGAAGAAAAAAAACCCTGACAATTAAAGAGAAGATACCAGAGAATGAGCATCAGGTTTTCTTTTATTCTTTGAACTTCTCAATAACTTTCCTTTAGACTTTGAAAAGTTGCAATTTTGGTGTAAAAGTGTAAAAGGTATTACATCAGCCACACCTCCAATCCCTATTATTCCTCTAATATTCTTGTAGGGATAAGGGTTTAGACTAGTTTTGTCATGATTTCTTTACAAATGTGTTCTAATACCTATAACCTAGAACTCAATTATTATATTATAACCAATTGAGTATGATATATTTTATATATGTATAGCTCAAACAGGCTGTACTATTATATGATTTCTTAAACACCCTTCCCAGATTTACATTCTTCCTGATTTCTGTAGTAGTTTTACTATTAAACAACCTCTTTTTATAATGCCCTTCTAATATCATAACAGATTAAATTTGGATAAAGTTTCTTGATGTCATACAGATTCTGAACCAGATACCCTATTTTGCCAGTTCTTGGCATTTAAACCTTGTCTTGGCATGAAAACTAGCACAGCGACATGTAACACATTTTTTTCAGCCTCGTGCACGTTTTGAATGTCAGGAACCATACCCGCAAGAAATCTGATCATTGGCCTAATATTTAAACCCTTAGGGATCAAGCATGTACTCGTATTAACTTACCAGTACCCTCCCCCCCCCTCAAAGTGATATGGTATGGACCTACAAGCGATTATTCATCCCATGTACACACCGCAGCAAAGGCCATTCCCAGCGGCAAAGAGAGCTGGAGAATTCATACCCAATTGAAGCCCAGCAGCCAGTATCTCTGGTGTCAAAGCACCATCTCAAATCACCACTATCTCATGGCACCCACAAACAATCACCCAATGTAGAGAACCCCCTCCATGAGAGATACAACAAGAAAGCAAAAACAGAACGCCCCCGTTTTCTAACGCCGCAAATTAAGTATACAGTAAGGTCCCCTTCTATATCATAAAAAGGAAATCTTGACCTTATTTCCCGCCAAAGTCCAATTTCCTAGCAACTTTCCTACCTCTATGCCCCTCCAGCTCCGTAGCCTCGGTACCTTCATCCCAACCCGCCCTTCTCTTGAGATCGCCACCGACCTTTTCAATCCCCTTCCCGCCACCCTTCCTAGGTAGCAATTCCGGCTTCGTGGGCATGGGCTCTTCCTTGAACCACTCGCTCTGCAAGCATTGCTTTGCAGACCAGCGCTTTCGGGGATCCAATCTAAGCATGGACATGAGTAGTGTCAGGCCCTCTGGCGTCAGCGCCCTAAAAGTTTCACCGTAGAAGAGTCTCCCTTGCTCGGGCCTGATATCGCCGGTGTTCGGGATGACGTATTCCGGCAGCTTCGTCACGCCTGGCCAGTTCTGCTCCGTCGGCGTCCCGAGCGCTGTGGCGATCAGTTTCAATTGGTGCACATCCGAGTCGCCGGGGAGGAAGGGCACGCGGAGGAGGAGCTCCGCGAAGACGAGGCCGAGGGAGAATATGTCCACGGACGATGAATAGGACTTCGCGCCAAAGAGGAGCTCTGGAGGACGGTACCAGCGGGTTATCACCGTGCTGGTCATGGCGCGGTATGGGTCGGAGAAGCTGCGGGCGAGGCCGAAATCCGCGAGTTTTAGCTGACCGTTTGTCGATAGGAGGAGATTGTTTGGTTTGATATCCTATGCACCACCATCACCATCCGTTAGCCCCTGCGTCCCTCCCCTTAGGGAGAAACATGGAATAAAGCAACCCTATGCAAAACAAAATTCTTGTGACACCACCAAAGCCCCCTCAAACTCATAGCAAGCCAACTCTTAATATCCGCGCCCCCAAACCCAATCTTAGTATCCTTAATAATCATCTCGAGGTCAGAGTCCAGGAACTCGAGCACGAGATTCAAGTTCTGGTTCTTGCTGGAGAAGACGTCGATCAGCCGGATGACGTTCTCGTGCCGCAGCTCCTGCAGGAACTTGACCTCACGGATCGCATCCATCGAGATCCCGTCCACCATTGCGGAGAGTTTGATCTTCTTGATGGCTACGGGGAGGGCGGTGGATTTAACGTGGCCGAGGTAGACCACGGCGTAGGTCCCTTCCCCGACCTTGCGATCTGTGGGGGAGGGCATGTTAGAGTCGGTTTGTGGGTAGGAGGAAGGAGTGAAAGGGGTACCTTTCGTATACTTCTTCTTCGTCTCTTCGTTCATTTGTTGGGCTAACTCGCCCCCACTCGGGGCAGGTGCGGGGGTGCTGTCACCGTTGGAGGTCGTCATTTGTGGTTTGTTTGTGGGAAAGGTGGAAGGCTCTGGGTCTGCGCGTTGGAAGCTTTGAAACCTTGGCCGGATAGCGGGCGCGGACCGTTTGATAGGGCACGAGACAAGGAAAGTTTGTCAGTTGTTAGTGCCTATCTTATCTGATGGTAATTGATCAATCACTCGGAATAAACTTTAGTGAAGCAGGGGTGAACGGACTACTCTGAAATGATAGTAAGGATACAATCAATTGTGTCTATCCCCTCTCTTGACCCCGAACTCCGAGCTACTACCATAAAAGGGCCCCGGTTCTAGGAGAAAAATGTGCATAACACAGGCCACAGGGCACACAACAGGAGCCCCGATTCAGCGACTCCTAAGAAGTCTCTTTAAAACCCTTGAGGTATTTCCTTCTCCGGAGCAAGGCCCCGGGTGGCGCGGGACGGCAAAGCCAAAGGAAGGGGGGGCTGCTTGTATATCTGACTTATTACCCTTATTGGTCCCTAGTTTCGAACGGGACCGCCACGGGTTCGGGTTCGAAGCAGGATAAATACAGTCACAATGGCTACCTTACAAACACTGGATGCTTCTTTCCTATTGCCTTCCACTACCGGTATCATGGCACTGCTTGCAGATCTGCGGCACTCCCGAACTCATCTCATCCCCTTGAGGTTACAGCACGGAGGGAAATATATAATATCATACAGGTCCCAAGACAGCATCAATGGAGGAGCCCCACACAACCAACCCAATGCTTCCGGATCTCGCCCGCACCACCTTCCCCCTACAAGCACCTCAGGAAGATCCTCCCCATGATCCATCTCACACTCACTGATACGACTAATGTTATAGTAAAGAGGGAAACATATAGAGGGTTAGTTACCGTATTCAATACCAGTATTGGAAAAAATACGGTACAAGTAGTTTTTGATTTCGGTCCTTGATGGATTGTCCCCCCCCTGAAATCCGCACTTTCAGGCTAACGCTCTGGTCGTGGCGGTGGGAATCTCGGCACTCCGGGTCGTCAAGCCCGCCCGGGGGTGAGGGCGGCAGTCGATGGCAGACCCTTTGCATGCGAGTTCCCATTTGGGGGTGTCCGGCTTCAACCCCGTACTCGCACAGTACGCCTGCTAGGCGGTGCCTTTTCGTGGAGTGTTATCAGCCGAATGAGTATTTACTTGAACAGCTCTCTCGCACGAGTGCAAGCATGATAACGCAGCCAAATATGGTATGAAAATATCGGGCGTAAAATAGGGTGGCCCGCTGTCCGGAGGACGGTCGGCCGAAGGGGAAGAGATGAAGTGCTCAAAAATGTTCAATCACGATCCTGTGCATACAGTACTCGGCCGTTCATAAAGTGTCCGGACGCCTCGATGCTAAGAGGAGTAATTAATCGACTCCAAGGAGTCCAGATACTGTACGATACTTTATGGGCGGCCAAGTCTGCGGATAAAATTCTGGGGACGGGACGGGACGGGAGATCAGACCAGGTGGGTCTAGGGCCGTCCTACTGGAACGATTGGAAGTACTGTACTCGCCCTGGGCGCAGCACAGGTATCACACAGTAATTTACCAAATCACCTAAAGAACCCCTAAAACTAGTCTGTGCACATAAGATGCTATGATCAAAAAATTCAAGAACCTTGAGAGAGCGCGGGAACTCTTAAACTTGTGTCGTACCACTCATGCGATCATTTCCCGGCCTCTGGAAAACCCGGCTTCGCTCGAATGGTGTGCCATCCCCCCCCCCCCCAACAAACGATTTGGCTATCAACAAGCGATGCGAGTAACACTTCGGTCATAAGGAACCTGTCTACAGCAATTATGGTGTTCGTCAATATATTTTTCGAATAAAGATAACTTATATATGGTGGTATAATACGAACGGGCAAGGTAGTGAATGGTACAGCACTCATACATTATCCACTATCCGAATCCCGTCTCGCAGCCCCACGTGAGTTCCCGTCATTGTTGATAAACAAGGAAAAAGAGTCACCATCTTGTCTCGTCTCCCCTCTCTCCTTTTCTTTCCTTCTCAGAGAAACATTCCATCACATATCACACAATGGCACCATCTACAGCATCTGCCCTAAACCGTGAGCCCCCTCCCGTCTCCTTTATCAAAACGCTCCTGACACATCCATAGCAATCGTTATACCAGCCATACAGATCCCTCCCCACTTCAGCACCTTAGGCTCCGGCCTCCTACACGAAACCCACGCCCGCGAGTCCGCGAGCACGTTGACATCCCTCCTGCTCACCTCGCCAGACATCTTCCCCAATAAAGCGAAGCCGAAACTCTGGTGGCGGGGGCAGTGTCTCCTGTACGGGCTCGATGCCCCCCAATCGTTGACAATCCAGTTACTACGTGAGAGGCTGGAGGACGCGCTTCGCTGCGGGGAGCTGCGAATCCCGGAGCATCTGGTGGAACTGGAACACATCGAGAATGGCAGGTTTCGGAAGCTGAACGCACAGGTTAGGGAGGCAACCGGCATGAGCAAGGAGGGGAAGAGTGGTTGGGGGGCCAGGAAGGAGAAGGAAGACCCATTGAAAAGGGTTCTGGGCGCTACAAAGGTTGCAAAGAAGGTCTCTGCGGGTGCCTGGAAGCCTGCTCCTCTAACAGCGGCAGCAAAACCCCGTGCGAGGATGAAGATGGAACCGGAACCAGAGCCCGAGTCGGGAGTCAGACCGGCGGCAAAGGGGAAACTCTGTGCAGATGCACAACCCCTACCGTTCGCAACTACTGCCGGGGTCGGAAACATACGGATATACCTCACAGGTCTTCCACCAGCCCCCGCTCCTGCTCCCGCCCCTAGAGCCAAGCAAACCGCCAAGCGTGCGATCAGCTATGCTCCCAAATCCCGTGCCCCAAGGGCCGAGCCGGTATCTGAATCCTCCGCCGCCCCAGCAAAACGTGGGGGAGGCGGGCCCGGAAGTCGTGGTGGTCGCGGAAGCCGTGGTGGTCGCGGAAGCCGTGGTGGTCGTGGTAGTCGTGGTGGTCGCGGTAGCCGTGGCGGAGCTCGAGGTGGCCGTACTACGCAGCCCGTCGGGCGTGAAGCTAGCTTACCCCCACCCCCACCGGCGGCCCGAGGCCCGACTAAGCAGACTGCCAGAGGTAGCACTAGAGGTGGTCGTGGCGGCGCACGTGAACGTGGTGGCTGGGCTAATGGTGGAATTTCGACTGTGAGGGTTAAGCAAGAAGTGCATCATGGGTATGATGTTTGGAATGGCGATGGTGGAGAGGGGGGGTACAGTGACGACGATGGGTATCCCTGTGGGGGTGAATATTCTGGGTGCTCCGGCTCTGAGGGGGAGGAGATTAATGGGGAGTATGATGATGACGAGGATAGGTACTGTGGATATGGCTATAATGCCGCGTATTAATCTTTCTTTTTTAATATTTTTTTTCTATCGGAACTTTGGTTCTCTGTGGGCGGTTTTTGAGGAGGAGAGAAAGTGGATAATATAGTCTCGTCAGACATTCCTAGTTTCCTTTTCAGCTCGGTGGCGGTGTTTGTATAATGACTCATCCCGCGGTTCTGTAGAGTAGCAGTAGGGTAGATGAACGAGGTAAACAATAAGATTGCATATCGAGTGATAGATCGTGAGGCGGTGGTATCGAGCAATCTAAACCCGTGCCTATCGTGGTACTAGCTACCCTGGCTTTTCCAAGGGGCATATTGTGCATAATAGCTTCGGAAAAGGGCATTGAAAAGGAAGAAAAACTATGACCAACAGCTCTTTTGTTTCACCATCACACATCGTTCTAACATGACAAAAGGCTCCCCCCTTTCTTATTTCCCACGTGAACTATTTTTTTTTAAAAAAAAAAAAGAATAAGAGTAGTAGTAGCAATGGTAGTAGATATAGAAAGAAAGAGAGGACATCGACAAACCCATTATTATGCGTTTCCATCCCATCATTATTTTTGTAGGCCTTTCAATGAACCGAGGCTGAGAGCGAGGCCTTGGGACCTACTTCGGATGCGGACAAAGCCTGTTACTGGGCCGTCATCACCCTCTTTTTCGATGCTGAGGTTTGCTAGTGCATCCTCGCCTGTAAAAATGAAAAATCAGCTATTAATCTGCGGGGGACGGTAGGGTGGATGGATCGGGGGGGGGACTAACCAAAGACAGATCTTGCGTAAAGGTTTGCACTCAGGAATTGGCAGTCCCCTTTTAAGCTTGCTTCTGGGGTCAAACAGGCCATGTTTGTGCTCTTCATCAATTGGTCAAGGAAATCCCTGAGTGACTTAGCCTTCGAATTGATGTTGACCTTGTTCTCCCATTCAAACTCGGTCCACATGGTTCGGAATTGGGTCTCGCTGCAGTAAGCTGGCTGAATGTAGTCCATGATGTCGACATGCACGTCGTTCAAGATGACCACGTTAGTCTCTGTGGACGATGGTCCGTCGTAGACAACGTTACCGAAGATTACCGCGGTGTCTGTGGACGAGACCTTGATTGTTGCTTGGACAGACTGGAATGAGTGAGGGCCGAGATTTTGGGTAGTTGGTCTTTCAACAACCTTCAAGTCTCCTAGAGTTGCGAATTCGACCGAGAGGTTTTGCAAGGTTTCGGTGGTTTGGTTGACGAGTAGAACGTCGAGAATGATGTCGAACTGGTGAACTTTAACATATGCCTCAGCATATACTGGATCGGAAAATCCGGTAAGCTGCACAACACGACTAAGCTTCGAGGAAAGATCCTCGACACTAGCGTCGGCCCCTGTAGCCTTTTCTAGGTCCTGCTCGGCTATATCGGCTCCGTCAGCCGCCGACTTCTTGCTCAATTGTCTAATGGCAAGAACATCATCGACTTGGATCATGTTCTTTCCCTTTTCAAGCTCCTCTTTTGCGATCCTCTTTTTTTCCTCCGCAGCCACCATAGCCCTAAATGCCTTTCTGGTGTCCTCCAAGAAGACCTCTTCAATCTCCTTCTTTGTCTCATATTCCGCCAACGAGCGTACACAGGACATGATTCTGTCCATGCTGTCCTCGTCAATCTTGGCTTTCACAAATTCGCTCTGGCCAACACGAATGATACTGATCATGATCAGCATAGCCTCGGCTTTCAAGGCATTGGTGCGAGCAGCGTCAGAGGAGATCTCTGAGTGGCGCATGACAAGCTTCGTGAGAGTAGATGAGAGCACAGAAGCCAAGAAAAAGTCGCCGTCAAGGATGAGTGAACGTAGCGGTGGCTTTTGAGCGGCCTTGACAGCTTCAAGTTTGGCAGCGCTAGCAGACTCGCTTGTTAGGGCGCTTTCGGTTGCATATGTGCCATCTGCAAGCACTTTGCGTGACCCTGACGGCGCAGCCGGTTTCGAACCTTCATTATTTTGCCCTGCATCGCCTTCAGGTTGCTCATCCAGCAGGCGCTGTTCCGAGGCAAGGATTGGTATTTCGCCAAGACTGGCACGGATCCGCTTCCATGCCTCTCGGATATCTGGTGGAAAAGAGAAGGAATTAAATTAGTTCCGCCAACCGGGGACTAGGGCTCAAATCCAACCAAGTACCTTTCTGCTCAACACAGTACTCTCCAACAATCCATAATGCTCCTCTGTAGACCTTTCCGGCCCTCACTTCGCCCAAAGTGCCCATGAGGCGCTCAATGATTGAAGAGCGCAAAGCAGGGAATTTCTCCACAACTTCTTTCACAAATGCAATGACATCTACTGCAGAAGAGTTGTTGAAATCGCTAATGAAGTCCATAAGCAGCCCAACAACGCTCGCGGCAACCTCGGAAAATCTGATGGCGCATGTATGGATGGCGTGAATCAAAAGTTGCCTATATTCATTGTTCTATAAAGTGTTGGAATTTATCGCTTGGGACTCTAAGAGAGGAGATGCTTTGCATACCTTTTCATAGTCTTGATCCACGGTTTTGGCAAGTTGGCTCTTGAGCAGCATGACCACCTCTTCTACGTTTTTGCTTGACGTCATGTCCATTGCAATATCAAGAGCCTTTTTCCGCACATCGATATCAGGGCTATTTTTCATCAGGTTAGAAATTGATCCAGTGAGCAGGGAGGTAAATTATCGACGGAAATTCTGTAATGGATGCTATACCTGGATAGGACCCGCAGCACTTCCATAACTAAATCATCGAGCGTACCGTCGTTCTTCTTACGAAGCTGATCTACTTTATCGAGAACGATAAGTTTGACATTATTGTCGGAAACTTTGATACTGAGCTCGATAAATTTCCCGGCAGCAGCCTTGATTGCGACCGGATTACTTGTTAAAGCTGTTAGGGAGGTTGCAGCTTCGTATACGACAGTATTTGAGGATGCCTCGAGCAGATCGAAAATTAATCTTAAATATCTTGCCTGCGTTACTCCCACATGTAAGAAAACCCCCCCGATACAATAGGTATCCCCCAACGAGGTACCGAGCGACCAAAACCCACCTTATTTCCTGAGTTAAGCACGGCATCCTTTCTAATGAACTCAATGAGCACGAGTTGCGTCAGCTCATCCGTACTGGCAATATCATCGAAAACAGAATTAAGGTATTCCAAAGCCTTTGCGTGTGAGATCGCACTCAGAGAAGCAAAAGCGTTCCTCCTGCAAGTATTGTCGCTCTCAGTTTGCAGGAACGTTTGGATAAGCTCGGGGGCGTCGGGTATTAGGTGCTCCGAGTGAAGATATACTGATTGAATAGCCAGGACAGCGTTCTTGCGGACGTAGGCATGACGATGTTCGAGGCATTGACGAGCAGAGGGCACTAATGGTTCGAGAAGCTCGGGCTCTTTGACTTTGCAAAGGAAACGCAGTGTTGCACCACGGATGAATTCATTTGGATGAAGAAGATCGTTTCGGATACCGTTGCTATATGCCACACGCCCACATCAGCTCTTTCCTATTCCCGCATGAATTCCATCGATAGATTATATCAAGCTTCCATGTGACATAAAGGCTAACATAAGAAGCGCATTAAAATCTCAAGCTCCCTCCCCGGAGAAATGCCTACCACACCAATATCATCTCCTGCTTGAGCTTCCCACCTGCATCATGTTTCGGACAAATTTCGTAGTAGAAGTATAACAGCTTCTTGAGCGGTTTTGACTTGCTGGGCATGACAAATCGGATAATGTGCATCAATAGTTGCGGCATGGGATCACCGTTCAACATAATGGTGAGAATCCGACGCATAGTTTCCACCTTGGATTCATCGGTACCCTTTTCTAGCTGCTGCTGCAGCTGCTGAATCGATGGCTGGTCTGCGGTATTATCAAGGTGAACAATCGAGTACGAGTGCTCAAGAAAGGAAGACATTGTTGGGGAACTTTTCGTTAGATCTGTGTACGATGGGGGCGGTGATGGTGGTAATACTAGCGGTCGGTGTCGCAAGATCCTGAGGGGTGGAGGGGGGGCGGGGGGGGGGGCTCCAACGGTGAGGCTCGTAAGATACCAGACGGTGGTATGCTGCTTGGGGAGCGAGGAGGGCGATACGGGTGAAGGATACAGGTCCACGGGAATGCCGGGGCGATGCGGCGGTACTCCTCAAGCCAGGTGGTGTCAGAATGTGAAGCACGAGGAGAATTGATTGAACAATTGTAATGATCCTTCTTTTTCTTCTCAAAACAAGAACACTGTGGTGTTTTGTGTTCTGGAGCATCTGTCAGGGGTCTCTGTTAGTCTTGGCGCGTGCTCTTATGTACGCTGGGACCAGTTCTCGATAATGCACTGTGCGAGGTAGTTGGTGGTTTTATATTATGATACCACAAACAGGTCAACAAAAACCAAGGCCACTGTATAGTATCATACCTGAGCTTGAATATCCTACTGTACAAGTATGATGTATCCTGATACAGATGTGAGACTCGTGAAACCGTATGAATGACAAACTCCCACATTAAACTATTCTCGGCCGCCATAGCTTCTCAGGAAAATTCCAAGAGCTATCCTATTTACACCAAGAAAGGAACATAATACCGCCATAACCCTAAGCCTACAAGCCCGTACATAACCTGCAATAAAGAAACAAAACAAAAACGACGGGGGGCAAAACAGCATTTTGCTACACCCTTCCAGAAAAAGAAGGAAAAAAGAATCAAGCTCGATCACATCCATTCCGATTCCCGAATCTCAATCCCAACCGACCCTGCGACTCCCTTGGCACCTAGGAGGTGTCATGAACGCAGTGTTACCGCCGAATAGTTTCTATGAGGGCAATACCTATCGCTTCAGAATTGACTCCCAGAGAGCTGCAAGACCTGCGATGGCCGCTCCGATCAACTGTGTCTCTCTGCCGACGCTTCCTCCCACGATCGCTAGATTCCTCGGGTTGAATAGGCCCATGAACTCAAGTCCCTTGTAATGGACCAAGTAGGCAATGAGAGCCTTGGTCACGGCAAAAGCGAGAGGGTCCGCCTTGTACTCCTCGGCCGACCTATACATAACTGAATCGGAACTCGAACGAGCAGTAGCCGCAGCGGTTGCCGTCAAGTTGAAAAAATATGCGTTAGCCAAGGGAATAAAGATGGCTGTAGCCAGCCATGTCGCAAACGGACCCCAAAAACCCGCGGTCAAGAGCACGAAGAGATCCGGCAAAAGGAAGAGTTTCGGTGAATTCTCAATTAACGGTATCGTGGGTATCTTGGCAGTGTAGGTGAAGGGGATCAGGTGAGACAGCAAGATGATGGCTTCATACGCCAACGAAACGGCGTTCACGGAAACGACATTCGACAAGCGGTCGCGTAGACTGATCGCCTTGTCTTGAATGGCGACCTTCTCTACCGCCTTCTTCGCGCTCTCCCTGATGGCATTGGTGCCACTCTCGATCGCATCAGCGATAGCAGCTGGGGTCGGTGGCAGGGGGACCTGTGCCGCCTCACGAAGCGATCGCACGCTCCTAGGGGTGCGAGTTGAGAGAGAGCGAGATCCGGATCTCAAATTTCTCTCGGCTGAGCGGGGCTCTGGGCTCTCTTCTTCCGCACTGCCGGTTCCATCGCGATGGTCAGGCTGGAATCGACGTAGCCGTGAGGAAGGGTGGATACGTACGTAGAAGCGTTCTCCGTGAGACTCTCAACGGCGTACCGCGCAGTTCTCCGTCTAGTTGAGCGCGTCAGAGGGGCGTCAGGAACGGCCGCTACGGATAGAGTATGCTTCACGGGGGACCGCGTAGCTATCGTGTCGTAGTATGCGCTGAAAGTGGGGTCATTCAGGTATTCATCGGAATGAGTGTCCAGATAATCGGTGAGCAGGTTCTCAATATCATGCTTAAGATAGCCATCGACACTGTTTTCCAAAATTATTAGCTGCGCTCTTGGGCGACGCGCAAATAGATCCGGAATGCGAGATCAAGAGTGATCGTACCGAAGGCCAAGTTGCTCTGCATAGTCGACAAGTTCAGTCTTCCGCTTCTTAGTCAACCAGAGGGAAGACATGTTAGCGGCGATTGTAAAGAGCTAGATACTGGCGGTATGATAGCTATGAGGTTATAGTAGAGTTTTTCGGGGGGGTTTTTTTGTGTTGTTGTTGTTCTCGAGCGGAGTGGGCCAAGGTGGCGGGTAAAATACACGGAGCCGGAGGCAGGGCCAGGTGTGTGTGATATGGGGAAGCACGCGGGGAACGTTAGCGCGCAGTCGCCGTAACTTACTCAATTGTATTTGTGGGATGTTGGTTGTCAACACACACCAAACAACGCCCCTTCACACCCCAAAAAAGAGGGCGCTGACCGATCACGGCACGCGAACCTTGCTATCATACGTGGGGTTTCTGATGGTATGATAATACGTGAATACCTCTACAAGTACTGTATTATTCGCCCAGCCAACACCAGGCACCGTAGAACCCCTTTCTTATTAACGATGCGGCCTCTCAAAGGTCGTCCGTATGATACTCACCTCTCCAGTGTTAAGTTGTCGTGAGAATTTAAGCACTCCAACTGCCCTCCACCGTACCAGCCTTGTGGCTCTTTTTGTTCAGAGCCCCCTTGATTTCAAGGTCATACGCTATCACTCTTGGCATTTGGGTCAGAAGTAGCTGGCAGCTGTCACCCGCGGAAGGCTATCCCATTAGATGCGATACTCGGGTAGAAATAACTACCGTACTCGGGTATCCGACCTAGAATAGAGAACGCCTGATTTGCACATTTTCACCCCGGCAGAGTTCTTGTACAGTACGAGTTTCTGTAGAACTGATATCTCCGGATAAAGACCCCATGCTAATTTCGACACATCCCATCTTTCTTCTTGTCACTCCAAGCCGTGTCCTTTACTGTGCCCCGAAGAACTGGCCTCAGAGGAACGTTTGTGAGAGGAATTATGCTCGGCCCATCACGCGCAGGGGCCCTCGAACGGCTCTTAAGACTAGCTCGAGGGGCCAAGGCTACAATTTTTCTATTAGCCGAATATTGCCATTCCCGGGGAGCGATTCGGGATTCGGGGACTGTCTGGATATGTATGGCAACCCTTAGCCCAGGATATGTCGGTGAAAGGAGCGAAAGGACTACTGATACCGACGGAACACATAAAGGAGACTGGTATCTAGGATACTAGTAGTCATGTATTCAGTCTTTTAGCCCCCCATCTTTTGAGTCCATGGCCAGCACCCCACAACCTCGCCTAACCATACCCGTATCTATAATTATTTGACTATCACAGGGCACCCGCAACAGGTAATCCAAGTCCGAGCCACGGCAGGCACCAGGTATGATACCTCCACATCCACCACATGAATCTATCCCACGAGTGACCCTCGGTGATTCTCCACGACTCTGAAGAGGCATGCATCCAAAGTTACTGCCAGTCCCTATCGAAGTGCGGCGCGTATTAACAACACGCAGTTCGCTAGCTGTTTTGCCCGGAAAACAATCAAAGAATGCACAAATCCCACGGCTTGCAATGGAACAGCCATACTATGGTCACAGATACATACCTGGCAGGTACCCCTGGTCCCATCGGGATGCATAGCTTGTCCACCATATGCATTCCAATTCTGTGTGGTGCCCAGGGGGGCGAGAGTGCGGTCACAGATTCTCACTCGGGGAGTGGTTGTTTCATGGGGCTACTTGGTGGGAAGAAATGGACGGGGCGCTATTTGGATGGGCGCAGCATGAAAGAGACTGTTTGTGAAGTTCTTTCAATGCGGGGAAGCTAATGAGGATAAGTGCGTCGTTGTGCTCTGTGGTTACTCCGTGAAGGCAGACACGATGCATAAGCAGTACAGCTGAGTCCGGTTGATTGTGCTATAGGTGTTTGTGTAAGAATTCATCTATGGTCTCTTAACGATCGGTATGCTATAGCATCGAGCCTAGAGCTCAATCTAGAGGCAAAGTAACGTGGGTTTCATCTTTCTGGTTTGAGGCCCTCTTGACTTTACTGCTGGGCCGAGGTCAGTGGATCCCCACGTATACTAAGCGCACCAAATCAGGACCTCAATTTGCCGGTGAGGGACTCCAATAATGAGAAGCTAAAAGTATCATATGTTTTTGCAAGCCAAAATGTTTCATCCGACCTAGGTTTTTACACCAAATTTGGCGAAAAAATTGACATCTTTAGAGAGATAGCTCCTAACGCTACCCTTGTTGAAAACAATTGGGGTTTTGGCATTAGCTAAAGCACAAATAAGATTGAGTTTATTATTTACAGGTACAATTGTACCAACTGGTGAGAGTATGGCTTATGATTTTGTATGCGCACCCCCCGGTTAACCACCATTTCACCCTCGGCCCTTACAATGCACCGTGAAAGTTCGGCAGATTCTTAAGGGTATTGGTGTTCTCGGAGTGGAGGTGGGAATGGATGATTTTAGTGTGGAGGGGTCATCGAGCGAGACGTTTTGGTCTGGTACTGTACTTTACCATAGCAAACCTAGGAGCGAGAGGGATATTCAAATAATATACATGTGCATTGATCTCCCTCCATCTTGCTCTCTCTGGAGCCGGCAGTGCCCCCTCCCTAAGTCAATGGTTCCGGCTCCTCTGTTCCCGCGTTGGCCAATGGGGGAAGAGGTCTAGGATTGCGTGAAGGCATAGTTAGTTGGTCGGATGGTTCATCCTTTGTGTGTGTGCTTCACCATAGTCGTATATTGGCTCCAGCGTCCCCTAAACACTCTCCTATCTATTCCGTCACTTCCCTTTCATTTTCCGCCCATCCGGCTTTTTGGACCTATTTGACTTTCGTTCTTTAGGCCCTCCGTCTTCCCCGTCTATTTCTCGTAAACATCCTTCGCCCTCTCTGGACACTTCCTCCTGTTCTGTGGAGACTCGATCCTCTGATTCTTTGGGTGATCCTGCCTCTCGATCTCTCTGGTTGGGTGATCTCTCCACCCCGGCTTTGAGAACGGCCTCATTTCCATCCTTAGGCCCTTCTTCTTTAAGTCTTTTCGCCTTTCCCTTTGCGGGCTCCCGCATCTCCGGCTTCTTGAGGCCCTCAAAATCCCACAGCTTTCCAATTTCGAGTGGCGGGCCCTTCACAATATCCGACCAATAAGCAATGGGCTTTTGAGTTTTCCCGTTGATGCTCATGAGAGGGGTCTTGACGACAATTTTCTTGTAGGCCCTCCTCTTGAACCTCAGAGATATTTTGCGGCAGGGCTTTTGGGTGCCGGAGCCAGGCTCGATCTTGCGTCTTGGCGGGACAGGCTCCTCAGCTCCACGAACGAATCTCTCCAGCCTCTGGATCATTTCCTCTGGCAGTGGGGGAAGCAATCGTGCGAGAACATATCCCCTATGTCGACGCAACATATTAGCCACACGCCGTTTCGGCATAGGTCTCCCCCAAGCATTAAATTCCGGTATCTCGGGCTCAGCTCTGTTGATTGTCGTTCCGATCTGATGCTTCATCAGCGCCACCAATTCGTCCGAGGTTGGCGGAGGAGCTGTACGGGGTACACCAGGTATGAGAGGGTCAGAGCTTGTGGCTCTATCAAGAATAGGCTTTTCCACACGCGGACGCAGGTCAGTGCTTGAACAGAGGAGAGGGTTTGCGAGAGGTGATCCAGCAGTGCATTGCTCTACCAACCTGTAAAAGCTCGTGTCTCCGGTGACCGTCCCGCCCGTACGCCAGGTCTAGAACTCTCCCCAGTGATTTGGACTCTCCAGCGTTTGCCTGCTGCAGAAGTGATAAAGCCCGACGACCTTTTTTGATCTTTTCGTGGATAGTCCAAGCATCTTCTAACTTCTGATTCCTTCGAAAGCCATCCACGATAAGTTTGGCGGTATGGGCGCGGGCAACATGATCGAAGAGAATGGAGGCTTGGCGCAATAGGTTCCGGAAGAGATAAATGGGCTCCATGGGGGGTAGACGAACACCTATGCCCGTGACCAGTTGTTTGTTCCCGTACTAGTACTCGAGTACTGTATTCGTACTCGTACTGTGCCGTGGTGGGAAGTTCATGGGGACTACATGCAGAGGGAGGGTTCTTGGCGGGAATTTCAAGTCTGCGGTCGCGTGATCCGGCCAACTTTGTTTTTGTTTGTTCCAGCATTGCTGTTGGTCAGGCAGAGAGATATTGCCATACCTGGTACTCTCTTACAAGGGTTACGCTGTAGTACGAGTGCGGTGAGGCTCAAGGGTCAAGGGGATTCGAGGGTTGTGACGCGATGTCATACCGGTATCCTGTCCCCGAATCATCTGCAAGTACCGGTAAACCGAATTATGGCATTGGGATCTACAAGTAACATGAAATTAGGACTTACGGGTAACAGTCCTGTCGGAAGGTGACCTGCGAGAAGAGACTTCAGATCAGGCTGAGATATCTCGTGGCTGAACTTGCCCAATACGAAGGTACGAGCCGAATATATCCATAAAGGGTAACCGCCGAGCCATATTCGGAGAACCACGCGCACATGTCTCGGAACGCCAGCAAGACGCGCGCCCCTACTCCGCAGCAGATCGCGACTTCCCTCAGATCTTCCCAGCCTCAGATCCTGTTTCTACGAAGGAAGACTTTTGCATTGACTCTGACCTTACCAGCCGAATTCATCACGCTTGGAGAGTACACGATTGGCAGTCACTCTCATCACTTCTTGTCGGTGTTATCCGTCACGCCGCGGTCACCCTCCAGTCCTCATTCTCGTTCGTTGTCGTTGCCTCTACGGTACACCGCAAGCACTCTACGCGCTCCGCATTCCTATTGCTGTGTGGCCCCAGTGCTGTCCCCCGAAGAAATTTAACCAAAAGTACTTTCAAACCCCCCGCCCCCCCCCCCCCCCTACCTAGCCCGCTTCTGCGTCCCCTCCCCCCCGCTCCTGCGGATAGAATTTTCTGATTTACCGTACCCTCCTCGTTCATCACTTCTGCCCCTTTTCTCACACTGTACGGATGACCTCTGCTTCATCCTCTCGGCCTCTGCCTTTCGCTGCTGCGGGCGGTTCATCATCTCTAACAACTACTACTTCTATTCACCAGCAGCCTTTGGCCGTTGGATCCTTTGCGGCCACTAACGGATCAACATCCGTTGCTTCAACCCCTCAAGGAACTCCTCCCCCGCTGATGGCCCGTATGGATTCCGCAGACTCGAAACCAACAATCTTCACTGTAGGTCTTTTCTGATAATTAACTCTCTCTCTCTCTCTATCGCTTCCCCCCCTTTTTGCTCACATTCTAAATTTGATAGGCCACCTATTCTGGTGTGTCGGTGTTTGAGATGCCGGTCAATAATGTTGCGGTGATGCGAAGACGTCATGACTCATGGCTGAACGCAACACAAATTCTCAAGGTGGCTGGGGTTGAGAAGGGGAAACGGACAAAGGTTCTTGAGAAAGAGATCCTCACGGGGCCCCATGAGAAGGTTCAGGGCGGTTACGGAAAGTATCAGGGAACATGGTTGGGACGCTTTTTCTTCACCTCTTCTCACTCGCTAACATTGACCCAGGATTGATTTTGAACGAGGCCGGGAATTTTGCCGTGCATATGGTGTGGAAGATCTACTCGCTCCTTTGCTGGATCTTGACGTGCAGGCGGCTAGTGGTCCAGATTCGACGCCCACAAAGGAACAAGCCATGGCTGCCCGGAGGAAACGCATGTATAACTCCAGCCTGAACCAGGCGAATGGTAATACTGGGCCATTGTTCCCGCCTATATCTGCTACAGTTACAAGTGCCTTTAATGCGCTCAGTAAATCAAGTGCTCGCATGGATTCGCCGGGGCCCCGAGGCGGATACTCTCAGCCAGTACCCTCCTCGTCACAAACTACTATCCGTCCGCAAGAATCATTCAGTCAGGAACCATGGGCAATCAGCCTTCCCTCGGAAACTAGCTTTTCCCAATCACAAACTCAACCCGATTCGGCATATGCATCACAGTCTTTCACTACCGTCGACTCACAGATCGAATCTCAGGAGCCTCCACGAAAACGGGTACGTGCTTCCACGCCACCCCATGAGGCACTACCACCTTGCTTCCCGACACATCTGGATACTCTCTCCAAGCCGGTGCAGCCCTTGGTTGTTGAGCAGGTTCCGGATTCCGAGCGCGCCCGGCAGATATTGATGAATCTTTTTATCAATCCTGAAACTGATAATACAGTACTGTCCCATCTCGATTCTCTAACCCCGGATCAGATTGATATTCCTCTTGATTCAACAGGTAGTGCAGCGATACATTGGTCCGCGTCTTTAGCTCGTGTCCCTTTGATTCGTGCCTTGATCACTAAGGGAGCTTCAATTGCCCGTGTGAATCATGCTGGCGAGACTGCATTGGTGCGGGGATGCTTTGTAACAAATAACTTTGATCAGTCTTCTTTCCCCCAGCTTCTCAACCTGCTCCATCCTACCATCCCGATTGCTGATAACAATGGTCGAACCATTCTGCATCATATCGCTGTCAAATCAGGGATGAAGGGAAGAAGTGCTGATAGTCGATATTACCTGCATTGTTTATTGGAGTTTGTTGCGAAGCACGGGGCTTCAACTACGAGTCAGCGTACCAGTGGCCCAAAGGTTATGAGCCTTGCAAGATTTATCGGGGAGATTGTCAATGCACAGGACAAAAGTGGAGACACCGCTTTGAACATTGCCGCGAGGATAGGCAATAAGAGCATAATCCAGCAATTGTTGGAAGTAGGTGCCGATTCGAGTATACCAAATCGTGCGGGCCTGCGGCCGATAGATTTTGGAGTCGGTGGAGAACCTGCACCAGTTCCAAGTCGAAGAGAGCAAGGTTGGATTTTACCCCCAGCGGTTGTACAAAAACGACAGGACATCATGAAAGGTATTCCCTCCCCCCCCCCTCTTTTCTTCCTTTCTGCGACATGTGCTAATATATTTCTCAATTGTTTAGCTATCAAGGGCCTTATTGCCGGGACAGAGAAAGACTTTCAGGGGGAGATTGAAGCCAAGCAGGAACAGGTTACCAGTACTCTCAATAGGTTACGGGAGGTTACCCTAAAGCTTGGGAAGGAGAAAGAAAAAATGAACCAACTACGGCAGCGAAGTCGACAGCATTCTGAACTCAAGCAACATTGTCAGAATCTTCGCCGAGCGACCGAGGAAGAGAATGCCAGGCTTCGGGAGAAGGTGGGCAATACCAACGGTGACATTCCTGGTCTAAAGGGGGAGCGTTTGGATCCGGATCAACCCTTCAGGATCAAAATGGAGCTATTGGCGCAGCCCGGTGACTCCAGAGATATTGGAGAGCGTCAGAAAGGGTATCTCAAGTCCTTACCATCAACTGCGGTACTGAAAGCCCGGATCAGAGCCTACGCCACAAATGAAGAAAACCTGCGCGAGGTTGCGGGTAAACTCCATGACAAGAGCACAGACCTAGAGGATAAATTTAGGAGAGTTGTTGCTCTCTGTACTGGACTTGAAGAGTACAAGATTGATTCCCTATTAGAGGGTCTGGTTCAAGCCGTCGAAAGTGATCCCGGAGAAGTCGACACAGCTCGAGTCAGCAGCTTTTTGAGGAAGGTTGACGAAAGTACAGGGGCTGACTGATGAAAGCATGTTTATTTTATTTTTTTTGTCTTTACACTTTTCCCCATTTCCATTTGGAATCTTTAAACTATCATTAATTTCTTTTACTCGCGTTGTCTTCTCTTTCTCGGATCTGGAACGATAAATTTCTGGGTATGCTTTTTTATTCATGACTGCGCGGCGTTTATATCTTTGGCACTTGATTCTTTAGGGTGATTTTCTTAATTGGAGGCGGTTGTTTGAGGTATTTTATGCTCCCCGAACATTTCCTCGGGTAAGTTTTCAGGAGGAAGGATAGCTCCCCAGCAGTTTCAACAGAGGGGAGGGGCTCTGAGGCGTCCGGTTATCGTGTTTACTCATCTGGTGAGTGAGGTGTATTATAATGTAGCTTACTTGTTATTTTTTGTCCTATTCACGTCTTTTTAATCACTGTATTCAGATTTCTCTCTTGATTCTGGGGATCAGTAAAAAAAGAAAAAAAAAGGAAAGAAAGCAAATACAGTGTAAACTAACCCCCTTGAGTTCTATCCGTGCTTTGTTTGATACATTTTACTATAATAATGACTTCTCGACGTTATAAATGTACAGTGTTTGTTTGTTTCCTATTCTCTCGATAGTTTTATGCTCGGAAACTTAATTGGTACTCGAGGGCTTGTCTGGTAAAATGTGCAGTACCGTACTGGGGAGCATGAATTTAATTATGATCACCATCTTGCCATGTAGACTGACTACCGTATCGTACAAGAGAGAGCCAAGTGCGACCTGTCGTTGTCCCCTAACTTAGTATCATACTGTACTCGAGTACAGTGCACTGTATTTATTATGATACCGAATATGGTTGTACAGTGGTCTACAGTACAGTGCCGGCACTGTGCAATACAGTATCATACATACCCATGCAGCACCGTAACTGATCATCTCATCGGCAAGCTCGCACAAGCACGTTGCGGTGCCGGTAACGGGATGTCCCTTTGAAGAGCCGCTGCGCCTCCAAATCAGCCCCACAAAGCACCACCAACACCTCAGCATCCAAGGTACAGTACAGTACAGTGCCGTCTCATACAGTACCCCTCTCAACAAACCACCACCATAACCACCACCGCTGCCAACTCACACAATGGCTAACAAATCCATATCACAAGCGGACGTGGAAAAGTACTGGGAAATTTTTAGCGCCCACTCGAAAGACGGCCAACGAATCACGGGAGACCAAGCATTTACAATGCTCAAGAACTCCGGGCTGAACGATGATCAGTTAGCCAAGATTTGGGATCTTGCCGACGTCGATCGGGATGGGGACCTAGACTTTGAGGAGTTTTGTGTTGCTATGAGGCTAATTTTCGATCTTGTTAATGGGGTGGGTTTCTGTCTCTATTCCGACGCCGAGCTATGGGCGAAGAGCTAACCCGTTGGGAGGGTGGTTGGCGTAGGAGTACAAGCAAGTTCCAAAGATCCTTCCCAGTTTTCTCATTCCGGAGTCAAAAGCACACCTTGTCACGGCCTCTCAGGCACTGTCTGATGATCCCCCGCGGTTTGAGCGGTTCGAGGACGATGAGGACGACACGCCAGGGCTCAAGGATGGGTTCGATTGGTATATGTCTCCCGCGGACAAGGCGAGGTATGAGGGGATGTATTCCGCTAATGCTGGGGAGCATGGGCAATTGAGATGTGTGTGTGTCCGGTAGCTACCCTGGGTATTTGGTTTCACTGATGGGGGTGCGGTATCTAGTCAATGCCCTTGACGAGTTGTATGAGGGGATCAACGTTCCCGACACGGATATCCGATTTGCTTGGTACGGCTATAAGTCTATAAGTTTTTTTTTTTTCTCCTTTTTTTTCCTCCTTTTTTTTCTTGGGAGGCTGCATGTTCTAATTGCTTGCTCACTTGCTTCAGGAACTTAGTCAACCCTTCCGCCTCGGCAGCGATTGGAAAGGATCAAGCGCTGGCGTTTCTTCATATACTCAACAATCGTCACGAGGGCTACCGTATCCCCCGCTCCGTTCCTGCGTCTCTCCGTGCAACCTTCCAAAAGAACCAAATCAGCTATGATCTTGACAAGAACGATGATATCATTTCTAGGAACAAGCTTGGGAAGGGGAGGGACATGAGTACAATTACGGGAAAGAAGGAAGCCTTTGGCGAAAGCTATCTCACTCGGCTGGGAGTCGGTGGAAGGGGAAACTACAAGCATTCCGGTAGCACAACCCTCCGGAGTGTGAAGATGTAGTTGCACTAATTGTGATTTCGGGGCAATAGGTACCGATTTCAGCGCATCTAGGGACCAAGACTGGGAAGAAGTCCGCCTCAAGCGGGAACTTGGGGAACTCGAAACAAAGATTGCCGAAACCGAAGCCATGGCCGAGAAGCGACGAAACAGAGACAAATTCGGCGGTGGCGGGTCAAAAGCTGCGCTGGTCAAGCGTGAGCTCGAACAGATGTTAGACTACAAGCGGAGGACACTCCGTGAATTGGAAGAGGGCGGGGGGCTGGCAAAGAACGGGGCGAACTTAAAAGGTGCAAAAGAGGACCTGGAGGTGGTTCGAGAGCAGGTCAGTGCCTTAGAGCAACATTTGAAATCCAGGGAAGACGTCTTGGCTGGGCTGTTGAAGGAGGTTGAGGAGGAGAAGGCGAAAAGATAGTGGGATTTGGTATACCGGTATCCCTTTTGTTTTGGTTCTTGTTTCTGCCGTCTCTAGTGCTCCCATGTTTGGGTTTCTCTGGGTCTAGTCTCTTCTGTGGCTGTTGGTTGCATCTAATGTATCAGACCTGCGTGTGGCATTATCCTAATTGGAGAGTGAATATTAGAATGTGAAGTGCTCGAGTACTGTGTTGCGCTCCCGGACTTCAAGATTGCTTAACCGTGGAAGCTTATTGGTGAGCCACACAAGCCACTGTCAGTCACAATTTTTCCCAAAATGTCTAAATCCGTGACCCAGAGATCACGTCAATCAGAGGAATGGGATACCGTGAAGCAGCAAGTGCATTATCCATCCCTGTCCATACATGCTGTATATTCGGAATACAAAACAGCACAATCGAGCAACACCGTCCAAAAGCTTATAATATCCTGCAACCCCCGAGCTCACCCTACCCCACTACCACCACTACGCCAAGCACCACCACCTCCTCCCCTCTATTTCTCTCCAAACCCTCCTAAAGGAACTCTCTTGGTCTCCCGCCAAATACCTCTCGTCAAAAGCCCGCTAAACCCCACTCGAACAAAGCCGCCGTCTATCCGCCCTGAGCCCAATCCTGCGGGAGCGCGCCTACGGCTTGCAAGATGCACCCTTCGACTTCATATGATACAAGCCACAGCGCGCAAAGACACCCCATTCATCCAGTCCCTGTTGGAGAATTGCCCAATCCCCCTCCTGAGCGAGGGCCCGCACGTGCCACCACAACGGACCAAAAACATGAACAGGAAACCCGTAGGCGGCCGAGCTGCGTACACCATCACGAGGGGGACCAACATGGTGCTCCTCCGACTCCTAGTGTCGACGGACTGACGGCACTGCACATCTCTCCTACGGGCGTTGTTGCCCTCCAGCAAAGCTCGCAAAAACGCAAACGTCCCCGGTGGGCTAACCCCGCTGCACATCGCGGCCGCATGTTCACGTCTTGGAATGGCGAAGCTATTGTTGTCCAACGGCGCCGACATCGGCATCCTCGACAACGACCATGAAACCCCGCTCGACATCGCCGTCGGAGAGGGGTATAAGCTGCTCATTCGTTCGCTCCTGAAACGCCCGGCCGCCGAACATAGGCATCATCTTGAGTGCTCAAGGTTGCACATGGCCGTCCTGGCCTCGCACCTGCCCCTCGTGCGTGATATATTGAAGAGCCCCAGCGTGGATGTATTTTAAATACCCGTGACGTAGAGCGCGTATCCCCGTTACATACGCCTGTAACTTACGCTTGGCAGAGGAGCACTCGCCCGAGGTTGTAGAATTCTCCTTGAAAAAAGGGAAGGAGGAATGGATAATGGAGGGTGGAGAGTGCCAACGTTCGAACGATCCTGCACCGCCAATTACGGGTGTAGGATGCAATATCAATACCAGGATGCGATAGTCTATATAATCTACAAGGTGCCCAGCTCTAAAATTTGATGCCGGGTAATGGCGTCCTCCACCCATGGGAAATTCACTCCGCGGAAAGGTATTGTAACTCGTACAGTACAGTACAGTACAGTACCGATATAATAAACCGAGTTTCCTTAACATACAGGTCAGCAAGCGGATTTGGACCCGACAACATGCGGATGTAGAACGGGTAGGACAAAAGGCTTAACTTGAGTCTATAAGGGTGTGGGTTTGGGAGCATATGTGCAAGGAGGGGGAAAGTGGATGCAGGATTGAATCCACGATGTTCTTGTCCGCAATTCTGTACGAGTACCGTACTGCACTGCACGTAAAAATACGTGCCGTATATATTATAATAAATTGGGGATTTCTTTTTTTTTTCTCCCCTTCTGTCTGTATCTATCGTACACCGTGTAAACCAGCCAACCAACCAACCAACCCCCCACCTCTTGCATGTTCGTCGGGGCTCTAAAGTGCTTTTTCTTGTGGTAAATTACCAGTACTGTATATTCGCTCCGGCCCGGCTAATGGTTTATCATACCGGTAGCAGGTTTACAGCGAGTTACCCTACTGTATCGTATCGTGAGCTAACTTACCCTACAGCCTAGAGGGTGCCGAGTGATCCTTTGTGACATTGTAATCGCACAGAGAGAGTCGGTATGTCAGGACGGCGCGGAAGCAAGGTTCATGGCGAGATTCCTGTAGAAGCTGTCATATAATATATCTAGCCATTGTTTCGTTGCCCGGAAAAGTGCAGCCATTAAAACACAGTACAAGTAGCGCAAGAGACATGTAGTAGGGGAAGCAAACATGAGTGCGATAAGGGGAAATAAACCCAAACTCTAGAAACTCCATACCAAATCCCCCACCATGTATACATACAAACAAAGATAAGGAAGCTTAAACTGTATAAAGGTGAAGGAAAAGTTAAAAACAGGAAAAAATGGGAGAAAAGGGATACACTGGCCCGGCCATAATCATCGCGACGGACTTTTCTTTTTTCTCCTTCCAAAAACGAAATCTTGCACTGTAGCCCCGCCAATGGATCCTTAATATGACTCAAGCTTTGCAATCTCCCCATTCATTCTCTCAACCTCTCTATCCAACTCCTCAAGGCTCGCCGCCAGTGCAGCAACTTCGTCAAACCTCCTCCGCTTACTAGCTTCGGTTAGCATCTCCTGCACCATGAACCTCTGTTCCTCCAGCACCATCAAGCCCTCCTTCAGTTCCTTCTCCTTGAGCACAGCATTGCTATCCACCTCTACCTCACTATATTCCTCCTCTGTTGTGACCATTGTCAGCGCCCGACTAGAAGAGGGCTTGCTATTCCCGTTCGTATTGCTAATAGTCTGTATTCGTGCGCTGGCGGGTCTGTTTGTGTTTAAGAGCTTTGGCAGGGCTTTTAGCGGGAGCATGTTTAAATGGAGAAATTGTGTGGCGGCTTGGTAGACGGTTTTTTGGAGGCGGAGTTGAGCTTGAGAGGCTGTGGGGAGGTTTAAGATACGCTTTGCAGTGGCGTCGTATTGGGCAAAGGTTTCTAGAAGCTTTTTGCGGGTTTTCGTGGCTTCAGTGAGTTTTGCCTGAGTGGGATTCTTGTTCAGGTCTCTGGGGGAGGCTGCGGTTAGTGGGATGTGTCTAGAGCGGGAGCGAGAATGAAAGGATGTGAATTACTGTATTTCTGCTAATAGTTTTTGAAATCGGGGCATCATGTTCTTAATTCCTTGCTCAAATTGGACGAGGGTTTGATAGGCTCGAGCATCTTGGGGGGTTTTGGCTAGGTCTAGAGCAAAGTCCCGTTTACTGAAGACGGTGATCCGGCACGCTCGGCATATCCGCACGTCAATGCTCATTTCATTGAGGGCCTTCTCGGACAGCGCATTAGTCACTAATCACAGCGTTAGCCAGGGCTTCTCCGAATATCCGGTAACAAACATACTTGCGGAAACATTCAGACCAACATCGCTAGAACAATCTGTTCGCGAATCCCCGCAGACAACTTTCCCGCATAATCGGCAGTGGTGTTTCCGTATCGCAAACTGTGAAAATGTCTGATGGCAGTGCGGGCATGCAGTAACGTTGGCATCGTCTTCCCAGGCCACAACGGACTGCTCAATTGCCTTCCGCTGGCTTCTTAAGCTTGTAACAGCTTTGATAAACCCACTAGTCCCAGGTGGGGGCTCGGGGGGATTGACCAGAAGTTGGGTAAGCTGTGATTATCATGAGAACTGTGCTAATGATAGGGGCAGCGGCGGCCGAGAATACCTTCGTAAGCCTCTTTTCAAGCCTAGTCACTTCCAGATATGCCCGATCAACAGTTCTCCTCCTCCGTTCGGAAAACTCCTTCGTGTGATCCCGTACAAGCCCTAAAAAGGTCAGCAAACCTGAGGTTCCCCAAGCGCGAACCGACTTGCAGCACCGTAATGGTCATTATACCCCTCTCTTGACTTGTAACAGGTTTCACAAACCCTGCACCAAAATCCCCTCACGGGCTCATGCTGCGCCGATCTCGAAAGCTTCATCTGATACATTGTATGCTCCTCACAAAACAACTTCCCGCACTTCCGACAATTGACACTTCCGTTGACCGCACCGAGAGGCTTCCGGCAGACGGGGTCGAGGCAATAGTCGTCCGTGGTACTCCGCTGCCAGTGTGCTCTGGTGACTAAGTAATCCGGATCTCGCTCTTCAATCGTGGCTGCGCTCGTGATGGCAGGATTGGAAGACGGGCGGGCGGTAGCAAGAGTCTCATTGGATTCGAAAACATCTAGCCCTTTGAGCTTTTGGTTTAGGACCGCCACTGGCTGGAAGGCTTTAGCCTTTAACATGCGCTTTCGGAACCATGTTGATATATCGTCCTTCTCGACCTCCTCGACTTCTTTGTGAATATCGTCAAGATGACTATTACACTATTAGCCCACATTCCCGCGAGTGCCACTCCGGAGAACTTCTGTACCGGTTCAATTGCAGCAAAGTCACCTACACCACTAGTCAGTAAAGTGGCCACAAATGTAAACATGTTTGTTGACTGATTGTGGAAGAGCACACCATCTCCTCGGAGCAGATCGGGCACACCATACTACCCCCTTCATTCTCCCCGTCTCGTAATGAAAACTCTGAATTCAGAGAAATAGAACTAGCGGATGGGGATAATCTCCCGCTCCCGGCGACAGACGAAATAGCTGGAGAAAGACTCCTTCTAGCGGATGTAGCGCTTCCAAGAACCCTTCCTCCCACTGGGCGTGCTCCAGCGGTATTCATGACGTTCAAGGGCCCCTCTCTCCAAATGTATGGCCTCAACAATAGTCCGCTTGCTGTATGTAAGGCTGGCGGGGCTCAATATCTTTAAGGCTAAGGAGGGTACTATCAGATGTGGACAGTAGTAGATTTACAGAGACCTTTCTTGTCTGGTAAAGGTAGTTGACAGGTATGGTGTGTGTGTTTGTGCGTGCTTGTGGTGGGGGTCTTTGTATTGGCGCTGGTGTCTTTCACAAGCTTTTAGGGGGAGGAAATGAACCTCACGGAAGAAATAGCGGCTGTGGGGGCGGCTCATTTAAGGCTTGGCAAGTGCTGCTCTAATCTTGATCATGTTCTGCTTTCTTTCGCCCTCTCTCTTTCCCTCGCCCACTGGTTTTCTAGCGAGCCTCACCCTCTCCTCTTCCTCTTGCCGCCCGCATAATCTTATTACCGTTTACCTCAATCTATTTACCCCCTACGCCATATACAACCCCTGTAATGGTAGCTTCTGACGATGAGTTCCCCCCTGTTCAAGGCGGTGGCTCCCTCTTGCTTGCCTGGCAAGTCCGGAACAGAAAAGTCCTTGTAGTGGGTGGCGGAAATGTATGATACAGCCCCACTTCCCTCGTCCGCTACCGATTCCGCGCCTAACACAAATAGTAGGTCGCCGCCGGCCGAATACTCAACCTCCTCAACGGCGACGCAAAAGTAACCGTGATAACCCCAAGCACCGGCCTGCACCCGGAGGTCCACCACCGAATCCTGAGACGTCAAGTAACGCACATAGATCGCAACTTCCAGCCCTCAGACCTAGAAGACCCAGACATAGCCATGGTCCTAACAGCAATCGATGACCCTCAAGCATCAACACAAATCTACACCCTATGCAAGCAGAAACGTATCCCGGTGAACGTCGCGGACGTGCCGCCAGAGTGTGATTTCTACTTTGGCAGCGTGCACAGAGATGGGCCATTGCAGGTCATGGTCTCGACGAACGGGAATGGGCCAAAACTGGCGAACATTGTGCGGAAGCAAATTGCCGAGACGCTGCCGACGAACCTTGGAGAAGCGATTGTTAAAGTCGGTTCCCTAAGGAAGAGGTTGAGGAAAGTCGCATCGGCGTGTTCCGAAGGGCCGAAGAGAATGGAGTGGTATGTCCCCCCGCTCAAATCTTACAATTGTTCTCTTTTAATGCCGACGGCGGATGGTAAATAGGATGACAAGAGTCTGCGAAACCTGGAGCCTCGAAGAACTTTGTGACATGGACGAAGACGACATGGAAAACCTCCTCTCGCACTACCCCGAGAATAAAGTGATGACCTACAAAGAGCTACGAGGCGTACCACCCCCTTCCGAAGAACGTGAAGTATTCGAAGAAGCTTTGGACGGAAGTTTTGGTTGGTTTTGATTCGAGTCTTTTTTTTTTTTAAAAAAAAAAAGTGAACATGTAAAAAAAAAAAAGTGAGAAAAAATGGGTTATGGCGTTATTTTTTCTTGCTTCCTCATGTCTTTTCTTCTTTTTCTTTTTTCCCTCGTTTTCTTTTTTTCAATCTAGCTTATGACCACAGATTTACAAGTCTTTCGCATAATACCAATTTCCCATTACTTGTGGGAGGAAGCACACCACTCGACATCTCATAAATGATCACTCGGGACAAAGCGATCCTTTCGGAGAAGCAGGGGAGATATCGTACTGTGCCTCAAGGGTGTCCAATGGCCCACGGGTGATTTTGGAGTCTTAGGCGCAGGATGATCTGTGCTCGATCACCACAAGTAGCGCCTTGGCGACTGGGGACTAATGTCCGAGTGATGGTATGTGATGCAGTGGGACGTCTAGACGGGATATGCGCGGAAACTCTAGTTCATCATGGATCGCAGCCTCCAAAGTAGATATACTATTACTTAAAACTGTTGACACAAAGTATGTAGCCTCAATTACGCGAAAAAAATACAAAAACGCCATTTCAGAAAACGAGAGTAAATTCGGGTTAGACCGGGCAAAGAAACAATTGAACCCCTCCCCTGATGCATTCTACGCGCGACGCAAACAACCCATACCATGCCCTGCCCTGCCACTAGCAGACTAACTTGGAAATAGCAAAGTAGTTGAATTCAAAATCTCTCGGGGAAGCTATTACGAGATCAGGTTAGTTAAGGTCCTGATGGTCTATAGGGGGAAATGGTAAAAACTCACACAACTGGCGCGACCAAAGTCCAGGAGTAAAGTGCATAACACACCCAAGCAGAGACAATCTTAATCCAACTAGCAGCGTACGTTCTACCGACAGGAGTGAAACCCTCGCCGTCATTCTTTCCGGGCTCCAAGCTCATTGTCAAAAGTGTTGCTGTCCATGCAGTCGCGAGGAAGAAGATGATATGAAACCCTGAATAACTATACTGAGCTCCATTCTTCTCGTCATCGTTAGCTCTAGCATCATCTTCGTCGTCCGAATCATCATCATCATCCAGGGCACTGGCAGGCAAGCTTCCATCCTCAACGGCCCTGCGCAGAGCACGGGCTCTGAGTTCGGATCTGCTGGGTTCTGTTGAGACGAGGCCATGTTCCCCATCTCCCAAACTAGAGTAGCCACCGTTGCTCGGGGAGGTGTTTCCTCTGTGAAGTGGTCCAACTCCTTGAGAGGCGGCACGGGTGGTGGTATATGCGATGGTGAGGAAAGTCACGATGGCACCAAGAACGATAGAAGCGGTACGAGTCCCACGAGCTCGCAGAAGAGGGTTACATTGCTTGTCATCAGGCTCCATAGAAACAGCAGACATGGTGAGATAAGTGCAGTAGATTGCAACCATGGCAGACTGGGCTAGGCCGGCTTGCGAGTTGTATTCCTGAACCATGGGATGGACGGAAATCGCAGAGACAAGAATGAGCAGGATAAGATTGATAGTTATGGCCGCTGTGGTGCTGTAGTTAGTGATTTGTTGCTAACGTACGGATGAAAGAGCACACCTTGATTCATAGAACATCCACTGCCGGCGAAGAAGACATACATCAGAATCGTAAGTGCTAAGCTTCCAATGTACATCCCTAACGTGCTGCCAAGGAGGATACCACGCCATATTCTAGAGTCCGATTCGTCAATCCTCCCAAGGCAGACTTCAGCCCAGGTATGCGCGAGATCGACAAGCAGGACGAGACCGAGCAGAAGGAACAAAACAGCGCCGAAGGTTGCAAAATAATTTCCCCAGACAAGGAAGAAGCCCTCAGGGATAAGGAACGTAAGAACGATAAGTAAAAGCCAGGCAATGATCTTGGGCCCCCAATACCTATAAGTATAACCGTTAGAATCCTCTGTCTCAAGCCGTCAGCATCAGCATGACTGACTAACCCATTCTGAATAGCGGCACGACCACCCTTCGAACTCTTAACCCCGACAAGAACGGTAGCGAGAACAGCGTGGAAAACACCAAGAGCAAACTGTATACGATGCACCGCAACGAAACCGTAGCATTGCTCCCCCAAACAAGTGATGGGGAAATAGTCGAGGGCCAAATGCTCAAGCTTCTTGATGGCCCAGGGCGAGAGCATGATCCATGAGATAATACTGTTTAACAAGAAGAGCACTATAGGGTGTCAGTATCAGGACCCCGAATAGGGAATGTTTGAGTTAGGCCACACACAGGCATAAGCGATCCTCGTAGCAGTACTATAGTGAAGTTAGCCATGACCCCTTATCGCAATGTAATGAGAGCCCCCATACCTGCTACCACATTTGCCACAAGCGCTACACAGTGCGGAACAAGCTGCGGCACCACAACACGACGCAGCAAAGGAGCCAATCTAGTGACCATGTCAATGTGAGGTTGGAGTGGGCGGGTGGAGGGGAGGGGGGAACGCAATACCGTAGTCAGGCCGGGAACCGCCAGAAACGGGATTGAGAGCAGAGCACCCATTTCCGGATCTCAGATGAGTTCTCACGGAGGCCGATCAGGTGTACAGAGAGGTTCGCGGTTGGGGATGTTTTTACGATTCGAAGAAGGCTGTTTGGTGATTGTGAGGGGTGTGAGGTATCCGGAATCCAGTGGAGTTTCAGCGAACTCGCGAAGTTGGAAGAAGCTTGGTTCGGTCGGGTCCTTGTGGCCCGGAGGCGGTTGACACGGTCGATTGCGCCACACCAGATGGATGAGCAGAGCCACAGATGACATATCCAGGAACACGTGTAACCCAGAGAAGGATCTGCTGCCCTTCTGCGGGTAACGGAGAAAGCTAACACGAAGACGCGATAAGGGTGTCCCTGTGAGCTGCAGGTTCGTTTTTTTGATATTACCGTATTCGAAGCCATACGATACGACCCCCACGGCCGGAAAGTTACTGGTAACTTATGATATCTCTGATACCGGTGTGGTTTCGCACCAGCTCGGGGCTCTCTGTCAGTCCTATGATAATAACTTACCGGTACGATACTCGTGTGGACTGCGAAGGCCGCTAAGTTACACCGGTGTATTTGATACCGGTATAAACTTGCCGCGTTACGTTGACATGAGGTATCCCAGTGGCTCCCGTAACACATATCACGCTTTCACCGATACCGGTAGCCGAGTTCCATAAGTTACGAGCGCTGTACTCGAGTAGACTACTGGCGTTTCTCCCTTCCGCGGACCCTCCAGGCTCCTCATCCCTCGTTCCCCAAACACTCCCGTCTCCTTGGTCGCAAAGAGGCCCCGTGAACGAACCTTCTGATCATTCTCTGATCATTCACCCCTTCCCTACATACTCCAACCCTATAGAAAGAGATACCAGTTGACAATATTATTCCCTCCTCAAGACCAACACATCTAAAAACAGTGTAATTGTGCATTACAGTACGGTACCGTCTGCTCAGTTACCAGCATCACATTCGCTCGTTGCTTTTCCAAAGAAAGAAAGACAAGGTTCTGATCTATCGCCAGCTTCAAGACGATTCCCCCCCCCCCCGAGACATTACCGGCTCGAGTACTCCTACTCTCACCAACCCTAGGTTCCCCTATTCCCGCATTAGTTCCCTCGCTTGCCCGCAACTTCCACACTTGCTCCCCAAACACCCGACTCCCTAGATGCGGTTGAAGCCATCACCACTACCCTGATCCTGCCCCTTATACTCTCCCCACCGCCTTATTCCTTCCCAGACCCCCTCTAACTTCGTGAGATACTGGTCGTTATCCTTGAGGAGTCTCGTTGCAGGATCGTGACATTTCGATACCGGTAGAATGCCGGATAGGCACTTGCGTATTGCTCGCTTCGTGAGTTTAGCAGCTTCGATTTGTATTTCGCTAGCCTGTGGAACAAATGTTCGATACTCCAACGCTTCCGCCCCTCCCGCAACAACATGTCACTAATCCGGGCTGCACAGTATGTCTATTCGGCTTATGCCCCTCAGCTAGCCACTAGGCTCCACCTCACTGCTACGGAGAGTAATTTGATTGTTAGACCTCCTTAACAACCCTTAAAGATACCTTTCCTGGAATCGGTTCTAACCTGATACGCAGGGGACGTTCGGGAATTTAGGTTAAATCCATCAGCAAAAATCTCGGAGATTCTTAACTGATCACCCCACGGAATGCAGGAATGTATCTTTCGGGTTGGATCTTGGCTCCCGTGGCTTTTGCTTTCCCGACGAATTACTTACTCGATTAAATAGGAATACCGAGTGGAATTCTGGTGGACACTAAAGGACCCCGGCTGCCTGTTCTCATCGGTGCTGCGGCATTACTCATTGGGTACTATCCAATATACCTAGGTGAATAACCGAATCACCAACCCCCCCCCCCGAGCGGTATGGCGTGATCTAACCCTACCTAGCTATGGAGGGTGGGAAGGGATCGACGAATATCTTCGCGCTGTGCTTTTTCTCTACACTTACGGGTGTCGGGAGTTGTTGCTCCTTCGGTGGAGCTATGAAAGCTGGTACGAGCAAACCCTAACCCTTAAAATGTCAATGATATCGGGCCACTTTCACTGACCCCCACCCAAGCTGCTTTGAATTTCCCACAAAATCGAGGGACAGCAACGGCTCTTCCCCTGGCGGCTTTTGGCCTCAGTGCCTTCTTCTTCTCGTTCATCTCTTCATGGCTATTCCCGGGGAACACCAGCGACTTCCTGCTTGTCCTTTGCCTAGCGACCAGTAGCATGGTGTTTGTGTCATTCTTCTTCCTCCGTGTCATTCCTGTTCCAGGGGCATATTCTGCAATACCCGCTCGGGGTATGCCAGGAAATAACAGACTTCGCCGGACTAAATCCGGTGAAGGCTCACGCTCGCCGGTGATGAATTCCTATGTCGAACCAGGTACGAGCACCACCAGTCGTGACACAATCGTTGCAGTAGCGAATCCGGATCCCATACCAGATGAAGGCTCTTCATTCCTCACGAAATCCTCTTCAAGTGATGGGAGTGAGGAGGATCAAGTGGATGCGGAAAGTAATTGCGGTCAAATTGTTGGCAATAGTGACATTTATCATGGCCATCATATAGATATTCGTGGCTGGGCTTTGACCCGCAAGCCTGAATTCTGGCTATTATTTGTCCTCCTAGGGCTTCTCGCTGGAACTGGCTTGATGACCATAAAGTATCTCTAGACCCCTTTCAACCCTTCCATAGCAGCTCCAAGTCTCTAACGTCTTGTACAGCAATATCGGACATTCCGTATGCAGCACATTCCAATATTTCCCCAATTGGAGACTAATAGGCCCCGCAGGTTCAAGCATTGTGGGCGAAATTTGCGCCTGACAAGCACCCAGATTTTGTCCAGGGACAACAGTCCATGCATGTCTCCATACTTTCGCTCTGTAGCTTTTGTGGCCGTATGCTCAGCGGTATGGCTCCGGTGCGCCTGAAACTCGCTCTATGCGCCATCCCGGTGAAAAAAAAAATTACTAACGTGCGCATTTTGGAGCGAACAGGGGTATCCTCTGATATATTGCACCGGAAGTACGGACTCCAACGTCTTTGGTTGATCGTGGCGTCGGCGACCGTATTTTCCCTGGCGCAATTATGTGCACTAACTGTTGAGAACCCTAATTGGCTCTGGTTGGTGTCTTCGTTGAGTGGTTTTGGATACGGTTTTCTGTTTGGTGTGTATCCAACAATAGTGAGTAAATTGATCCCTGAATGCATATGCTCAGCCCTTTTTCATGCATATATGCCTCCCTTCTCTTCCGAGGTTCTATAACCCTTCATTTGCGTGATGCAGCCTCCTTTATTCCCTACCACCGTCAGTTGGAGAGCGGCACGGGGCCCGGTACGGCTTGCCAAGAAGTCCCTACTCGAGCACCCCAGATCCGCGTCGTGACCCTATCGATAAGAAATTTGACTAATGAAAGTTTGGCACAGATTTCAGAAGAATTTGGCCTACATGGCCTTTCGCAGAACTGGGGCACGATAACAGTATCAGCCGTGATCTCAGGGCAGATCTTTAATCTTTTCTACGGTGAGCACGTCACGTTTTCATCCGACTCTTTTTTTCGCTTTTTTGTTTTTTTTTTCCTTTTTCCACGTCGGTGCGACAGCGCAAGCCTTGTTGTGCCAAAAAAAAAACACACATCCGGTACCGGATACCCCCACTCTCTCATACGTCAGAAGCAAAATTCCAACGAGGGAAAAAAGCAAAAGAGAAGAAAAAAAAAAGTCCGCTGCAGCAGAAATACATATCAGCTTATCTCAAGTGGCAAAGTTTTTCTTCAAGAACCCGCCACGTTATCTCATCATTCACCCAATTTTGCGGCTGAAACATGGAAGGGTTGTGGAAGAAAGGAAAAAAAAGAAAAGAAAAAAAAGTTCGTCGGCTGACTGATTTTATAATAGGCCAGGTATATGATGACCACAGCATTATCACCCCCGAGGGCTCTCGTGAATGTAATCTCGGCCTCGAGTGTTACCGTAACAGCTATTGGATCACACTCGGAGCTGCATTGTTTGGCCTTGCTACCGCGCTAGGAACCATCCAAGGCCATCGCAGGCGGTCCGGATATGGGAATATCAGCACTCATTGAAGCAGGCTGAGGTTGTTGTAGGCTCTCGGCACCACTGCCAAAAACTTAAACCCGTTTTCTCCCTCCCTCCTTTATTCAGGGCTTTTCCTGTCCGCGCAAATATTTCGTCCGATACCACGTGAATTAGATAGCATTTAAAATTTAAATGCCAATGAAGCATTGCAGAAGTCGAGTTGTGCAAAGTGTTTTTGTTTTTTTGCTGCTTCTTTTCTTTTCTCTTCTTTTCCGCCCTCCCTCCCTTTCCTGTTTATTTTTACTCTTCAAACCGGGTAGACATGGGGTAGGGGCACCGGCATCACGGATCTACAAAGACGTACTAGTACTGTGCCGATACTTTTGTATAACATGGGCATATTTCGTTTTTGTAAAATCCACGACCCTATTTGCAATCCTAGAGCTGTGGAAAAGTTATGATAAACATCTTAAAGCATGGTTGACAAGACTCTTAATACAAAAGAAAATACTCTTTTCCGCATAAGAGGTAAGTAGTAAAATCATATAGACCGGGGGAGCCCTCAACGAGGCTTGGCGATATTTGGCAGCAAAGAATGCCCGCGGTCGAAGATAGTTGTGAGCCAAGCCATGCCGCGCCTCGCTGAGGGCTCCCCCGGTCTACAATTGTACTATCATAGATAAATATTCTGTACCAGAGTAGGTTAGGGATTCAGCTAGCCTAAAGTATACTACTGCTAATGTTTCAATACTCAGGCTAAGGGCAGGGGTTAAGTATAGATAAAGTATGACAATACTTATTTCAAGTTCAGGATTCAGGTTCAAAGTTCAGGACCTGGATCTACAGTTTCAAGTCCTCAGGTTATTGTTAAGAGGAAAATGAATTCTCAAGTACTATATGGTGCATGTCAAAAGAGAAAGGTATCAAATTACAAACTTACTTCAAGTTCCTTATATAGTAAAAGAAATTTATGCTTTTAGTTATTCACCACCTCTGAAAATACCTGGCATGTTCTTTCTGCTTCCATCTCCTATAACTCTATTCTGACAAACAAAATCCATCTGTAGCGACTATAGACTTCTTTATTTATATAACTACGGGCTCCATTACCCTCGCACATACTGGGATAGGATCCGGAGAAGTTTCTGGACTCGGGCTGTCCGTTTCTCTTGTTCCGTAGCGTCACCTGAGGAAGCCGTGCTTAGGTGGAATTATGTAAGCATATATAACCGTATTGTGGTTTGGCGCCTAATGTGGTCGCTGACTATCGGAAAAAGTACAAATTTCACTCAGCACGAAAATGGGGGGGAAGAAGCTTCTGATATTTATCACCAGCACTATTGTGCTCAAGAATATCATAATCCTGTCGACAAACTATGGTAAAAGTACCATTACTGAGCGACCATAGACATGTTTAATTCCAGATAACGCTAAATCCTTCTACCCGGGAAATAGCACCAGTTTTCCCCCCCCTCCCCCTCCTCGACCAGGGCCCGTTCTGTGAAAACAACTTTCACAGTAACTTACAGTACCGGTAGTCTACCGTGGTCTTCCAAGCTCTCTCTCTGTAGGGTCGTAGAATGGTATCCATACAATCCGACCGAACTTACCACATCATATTATCGTACCACCACCCGTACGGGCACAGTGCAATAAAATACCATCTTCGGACGAGCACGACAGCTGGGAACAAGCCTACCGTCCCGTAGGCAACCTCTCGTGCCACCCCCCATCAGCCAACGCCCCCACTTACCGGTACCCTAAGCTGAACATGCCAGGGCGAACTTATGCAAGTTATGCCCAAAATTTATATATAGAATCCTCGAGAACAACCCCCCCGGAGCGTTCAGGTACAGTATGGTACCTTCCCACCGGTGCAAGCATGCCGTCGAACACGCGCGCCTAAGGGTGTCATGAGATGGGAAATGTCGGGAATGACGACGACTGCTCTGCTCCAAGTTGGTTGTGTGTGGAGTTGAGTTAAGCTATGGCGGCGTGCGGCGTGCGGCGTGCACTACCTAAGTAGGATACCGTACTGTACCTGTACTCGAGTACAGTACATCCGTGATCCAGTTATCATGGCAGTTCACCTACTCCTCCAAAATCCTAACTGCCAAGCAGTGGAGCAGAAATAAATCCCCTGGGTGTGATAATGTACGAAGAAAAGAAAAGAAAAACACTTCCACCTCTCGGACTAAATCAATCAATCAATCAAATACTCGTACCAACCCAAGGATACCGTGCCGGCAATAATAGGATCCTGATTTCCGATTACGATTACCCACGAACCAGCGCCCGTCCAACCTTGCTTTCCATGGTACAACACGGTATTCATCCCATCCGATAAGCAGCCTCCACTCCCGACTAACATGGCAAGCCCCTGCCGGCTGATATGATATGATATGACAGGGTTTGATATCTATCTACCGGTATCTATCCATTCCAATTCGGATGCAAAAAAAAAAAAAGCCCTCACACACGGCCAGACAAGACAGAACAGGAATAGAACAAGAAAATTAATCAATCAGATCCAAAAGTTAGTTATTATGAGTAGAGTTACAATAAGTAAATAATCACACCGTATCTTAGAAATGAGTGAGATGGAGAGAAAGGAAAAAAAAAACAACCCCGCCAACTTTTTTGTAAACTTAATGATAGGAGAAAGGGAAAGAGAAAAGGAAAAAAAAAAAAATAGGCCTACCACGCGCAGTTTAGTATCCATACGTCCGTCTGTGAAACTACGAAAATGCAATGAATGTGACTGGAAAAGAAAAAAAAAAGCCGATGATGAGAATGGGGAACGAAAGATAAAGAAAGAAGAGAAACTGAAGACTATCAGCGTTAGTGTAAGGTAGTTTGTTAGTAAGCGATAAGAAAATTTAATGATGAAATTAGATTAGAGGGTGTGGTGTGTGAGGGAGATAAATGAGGAGGAAAGTAGAGAGATAAAGGGGGCCGGAAATGAGGAAAACAAAAAAAACAAAAAACAACAACCGAAACCCTAATAACTCCCACAAGAGCTCATTCCTTTTTTTTTTTTTTTAGTCTTCCCATCCTGTGACCATACCAGAAAGCCCCAGAGCGAGAAAACCTTTTTTATCCTCTTTTGCTTTTGTTAAAATAATTAAGGAAAATTCAATAACCCCGACCATGGATATAGAAAATCGAAAAATGTAAAATAAAAAAATAAAAAAGGAAACCGAAAAAGTTACAGGATATGTAACAAAAACGTCCGTCAATAGTTAGGAATAGAGATCGTGCAGACCATATTAAATTATCTATATTTTTTTTGCTCCTCCTCTTTTGTCCATGGTTGTTTTGTTCACCATCCGGAATGACTTTTTATTCAGTCAGGTCAGAGACCCTGACTTTTTTCCGTGGTTGATCGCCGCGTAGGTCGGTAAGCTCCCTCTCGGCGTCGTCTAACTTCCTCTTGAGCTCTTCCTCGCGCTTAGTGCTGGCATCCAAGCACACCCGTAATTGTGCCTCGACTTCTCTCCGTGTGATCTCCGCTCGCCGGGCATTGGCCTCGCTAGTCTCAAGCTCGCTCACTCGGCCTCGGAATAAATCATTCACCAATTCCAATTCAGCCACACGAGTCTTGAGTTTATTATTAGCACTGATAAGACTATCAAGAGTCGGTGCCGGGTTCTCCAAGTGTCGATCGTGGAGGGAAGATGTGGACCCCGGCGATGGATGATTCAGGGTGTTTATGGCCGGCAGTGTCGAGGGGCTACCGACCATTGGGTTTTCAGTTTGGTTGACAAGAGACTCAAATATCGATGGTGCCATATGCGAAGGTGGTGGTAGAGGAGTTCCGGCCCGGGATTGGGGAGATACCGATCTATTCGACGCGGTACCTGAGGACGGTTTACGGTGCCCGGGTGGGGGTGTCCCATTTTCCGACCTAGCTGCTGAGTGGTTATTCGTCGATCCATTGGGTGAATCGAATAGGCTCTGTGAAAGATCCGAGTTAGAAAACAGCAACCAGGAGGCGACAGAATATGACTGACCTTCTTCTTCGTCGGCTGACCAGAATTCTTCACACGGTTCCGACTTTTGATAACGTCCGTCTTCAAGCTGATGGGTCGTGGCTTACCATGGAGCTTGAGAAATAGGCCGCATGCATTGCAGAGGACTGATCCACTTTCATCCCGTCGCCATAATGGAGTTGTCGATGTTGTGCAGTTTTGACAGATTGGCTATATTACATTGTGTTAGGACATACGCGATAAGCGAGGGAAGGAAAAAAATTAGGAGGGAAAAAAAAAAGGGTCGCGTGTCAACAGGGTATGAAAAAAAAAAAGGCAGAAGAAAAACACATACAGGAGTAGTCCCCTGGCCAGCAGTACTTGCCCCTGGTGATGAAGTTGCGAAAGTCATTGGATAACCCCCGTTAATCCTATCCATAATTGAGTTGAATGTCAGTAAGGGAGAACTTTAGAGGAAAGAGTGACTCGCGTGGAGATAAGGAAGATTCGGGTTGATAACACGAGCGGGAGGAGGCGAAAAGTTTAAATGACGGAAGGGGGGTTGGCAACCTACCGCAACGGGGGAGACGGGAGAGCGACGGAAGCCAGCGTGTTGTTGAGGGATGGCAATGGGGATCTAGATGGAGTCCGCGAGATGGATGGAAGGATTGTTTCGTCGTTGCCAGACGTAGGATGAAGGAGATGGTGCGGAGATGGAAGCCGCTCCGGAGCAGGAGAATAGAAGAGAGCCGTGGGAGCCAGCTTATGATTATTCTAGCACCGAGGTCCGCTTTGTAAAAGCAGAGCAGGTGGTAAAGGGATGATGGGGGGGGGGTGCAGGAAGAGGGTTTGAGCGAGAGGTGAGTGAGTGTTTATGAGTGAGCGATAGGATCAGAAGAGAGGTGAGGTAGATAATAATTACTGAGTACGGATTACGTGTGGGGGAGGGGGGAGAAGCGTGTGTGCGTGTGCGCGTGAGTGTGAGTGTGAGTATGAGTGTGTGTGAGCGAGAGAAGGAAGGGAGGAAAGGACTTTTGTTTTTGAATGTGGGAGTGGAGTGGGGGGGGGGGTGGAGACAAATAAGTTTAAAGTGGTGGGCAGGTGAAAGCGAACGAGTAATGTATCAGGATTGGAGCAGAAAACGAGAGCTGTATTTCGATGATGGAAGAAAAAAAAAAAAAGGAGAGGCTGTGTTGATGGATTGCTGCTGGGGGAGGGGGGGATGTGGGATACTTGAAGGAAAAGCAGATACAGTAGGAATATAATAACCAATGATGAAAAAGTCAAAAAAAAAATCCTACGGTAAGAGGAAAAGGAGTGGAAGGGTGAAGGATAGTGAGTGTGGACTGGGTTTCTTTTTGTGGAGCGCGGTTACAGGTCAAGGGCTGCAAGGAATGAGTATGGAAGGAAGGAGGAAAGAAACGACTAGAGAGACTGGAAAGGGGGTGGTGCGCAGGACGTGGTAGATAAGCCCGGATCTGTGAGAAAAAAAATGCTTCTTCGATAAGTGCAGATACACGCACCGAAAAGGGAAGAGAGGAAAGGAAAAGAAAAGAAAAGGATGGAATAAAAATAATAATAATTAGAATCAGAATCAGAACCAGAATCAGAATTACACACACACCTATACGTTCATCCGTTCGCCTTTCTCTAGTGCTTTGTGGAGGCGGACGCCAAATTACGATCATTATTATTCGATGAACCAGATCTCCCCCCACCTCACCGCCTGCCCTGTAGTCTGGCGGCTTCAATGGGGGCGAGAAAGCCGTGGCCCAACCGTTCCCTTCAAAGTTCAAACTCTGCCCGTGGTCCCCATCCTATAGAGATCTCCCGTCACTCCATGCCATGTCCCCGGCATCCAATGCATCGTATTCAAGGGGATTCGACATCTACACAGTAAATTCTGGCCATTAGCATCGCAGTCCATCATATTCCCATTATTGACCCTCCAATTCGTTCATCCACTTCCTCCTGCTCGTCTGGGATCACCAATTGATCCCCCTTTCCTCCAGCTAACGATAGACACACATACACACACATTTTCGTACACACGCTCATGCCTTCCCTGCGTCTGCGTGCTCTCTTTTCTCCCCATGTCATTCATTCATTCATTCATTCAACCCGAGACCTTCTCATTCCTCTACCGCCCTTCCTTCCCTCCCTCTCTCGCCGTATCTGACACCCACGGCATCCTTCACGGAGCTCTCGCCATATTTCTCACTCGTTGTTGTGCTGCACACCAGCACTCAGCACCAGCCCTGGTACCCCAGTCTGCAGCAACCGCGGCAAAGCAGTAGGGGAATCAGCATCGAGTCCGCATACCGGTACAGTGTCTGGTCACAACATCTGGCACCAAACATTCGGGAGGAATGTTTTTCGATAAAATTAGCATCAGTCTCCAGATAATCCCAGATACAGCCGAGTACTTACCGCCAACCGTATGTATCGTACATGAAATCTAAATCTACAACGACATATCTTCCCCGAGTCACGCCCGGCCCGAACTCGAGATAAGCGGCATGACGAACATGGGTATAGGGGGGATTTGCTGACGCGCATCTTTTTGGTGCGGCGATTGTGGGATCGCCCCCATGGCAATTGTACCATTTTGGACATTTGCCTTACCCCTTTTTTGTTTCGTCCCTCCTCAGCTCCCCTTGTTCCTTTCCCGCCGACAACGGTAAACGATTAGGATTGGCATCGCTACTGATAAGTCAGAATCTGTGAGATTCCCCGATAGCGCTGGGGGATCCCATTCTGAATCCGGAGTGAGCGCGGTCGGTGTGCCCGCTGTGCCAATTTAGGACCATGCCAAGAGAATAGGGAGTCTTCCATCATTCTTCTAGAAGCATGCAGCTCACCTTCTGGCGCATCACGGACAGCAGCCACACACACACACACAAAATCATAATTAAAAACTGGTATCACGTAGCTGACTTTTTGGTGGGTTGAGCCGACCGCCCGTTCCCAGGGGCTCGGAAACCCTGCGGCACGATAAGATTATCCGCCGATGGTGAATCGTTGGCGGAGGAGGAGGGCAAGGGGGAGGGAGGAGCTCTCAGATGAAGGGAGAGAGAGAGATGGTATTATACGAATCTATCAAAGAATACTGGCAGAGACTGGGCAAAGGTTGGAATACAGTGAATAATTGCTCATCTGTGATTAGTTCCTACAGTATGTTATAATCGTCTACTGCAGATGTCCTTCCACAATGGCAAAAGAAGAAAGAAGGAGAGGAAGGCAACCGGGAGACAACCGCACGAGTACCCGTACCGGTACTCGGGTGTAATTGGGGACATTGGCCAGTTCAACCCCTTGGGTAAACGGCAAGCGTGTGTTTCTCGGATGGACGAGATGTTTCAGTCAAGAGGTTTTCTCGCCTATCTTGGTTTAATGCGTGGGACGTCGACCTTTGAAGAATTCACCGGGAATAGGTCTACGGTATTGTACCGGTACAGTACTGCGCACAGCCTCATTCCGGAGAAAGTTGCCTCAGCAAGGGTTGCGGTGGGTTATGGTTCTCGTCAACCTGCGGAGATACTGCTCTGGGGATGCTCCGGGGTGTGCTGCGGGGTGATTGATTGAGTTTGGTGAGATCTATTTTAAAAGAACCGTTAAGAACCGACCCAGCGGTTAAGGGCTTCCGAAGCTGGTGTCTTTTTTTTTTACCCTTAGACGCGCGCGCGGGTATCGAGTAGGAGGAGCACCACGCAAAAAGAAAAGAAAAAAAAAGAAGAGGTGGGCGCTGCAGAGTAAATCGTTGGTTTTTTTTTTATCTCATTTTTCACAAAGAGGGTGTGGTGATAGTAAAATGGTGAGAAACGTCGTCATTTTGCGGCTCTGCGCCTGCTTGCTGAACTGCCGAAGCGGGAGACTCCGAAGGTGTTTCTATTCACCTTCTTTTCACCATGCTGGCACTGTACCGGTACCGGTATTTATTTATTCTGGTGGTGGAATATACTCATACCGGTCCGGGACTTCACGTAAGGCCGTGGCACCGGGGCCAGAGGTTCTACAATGAAGTTCTGCAGCTCTACTACCGGTATACCGTGCCCGACCGTCTACGGTGCTGTATCATCTGGATCCGGGAATATCTGCTGGACCGCGAAACGTCTCTTCATGTTGGAGGTATCATACTCGAGCATAGCATCCGTTTTAGCACGTCATACCGTTGAAACAGGAACTTTAGGATACGGCTCAAAAGCCGGATGGCGGGTGATCCGTTCACTGCGGCTTCATTTGTTCTGTTGTTGTATCATACTGTAGAGTACGAGTGCGGGTACAATCGAACTTACCGGTACCATACCATTTGCCCAATCAGACCATACCCTTCCTGGTACGGCAGCCGTTCCTTGTTGTTCCTGTCAACTGTGATCCCTACCTCAACTCACCATTCTTACGTTGCTACTTCTCCCGCCAACCATACCGGTACCGCCTACACATCTCCACAAACACAACCCCCCCCCCCCACACACAGCAACTGAAAAGGCTGTCATCACCTCCCCTATCCACCCCCCCTCCCCTCATAATCACCATCAGTTTAAACAACCTCCCTTGATGCCTCGCCCTGCCGCCTCCGGCTATGAGAGGCTTGCCCAGGAGGCTCAGCTTTCCGATTCCGATGATGACGACCGAGAATCCATCGTGGATCACCCCGGCCGGGTCGTGACGGTTCAGCCTCGTCCACCCATCTCCATGTTGCCAACACCCTATGGGCCCCTCACACCCTCTCACAATGGTAGATCCGTGAAGCGCCTACGAAGTAATAGCTCTGGTGTTGATATCAAAGCGATCAATGCGCGTTTGGAACGGTGGAGTCACGAGATTGCCAACAAATTCAAGTTCAAGAAGGGGCGTTCACAACAGGAGCATCCACCTTTAGAAATCGTTTACTCGGTCTTTGTGCCACCGGAAGGCACGAGACCGCTTACAGACGCCATCCCATTGGGCCTGCCGCCGGTGGCGGAAAACATTCAGTTTACCCAGGAGCAGTTCGAGGAAATAGTCGAATCTGTCAGGCTGGCTATTAGGAAGGGAATTGATCCTAAATTGATCAAGCAGGGCTCCTCCGGAAGCTACTTCATGCGAGATAGTGATGGAAATGTTGTAGGAGTATTCAAACCAAAGGATGAGGAGCCGTACGTGTTTCAATCCCGCTTCAGGTTTATTTGTGCACATTTGCTAAAAGTGTTCCCAACAGCTATGGAAAGCTTAACCCCAAAATGATGAAGTGGCTTCATCGCACTCTGTCAGTTCCCCGTAGTTCTATTGGGCTTTTCGGGTTTGTGATTTGGTTGGGTGTATTTGCTAACGTTGAATCTCATGGTTGTAGGTTCCCCTGCTTTTTCGGTCGTGCATGGTATGCAATATATCCCCGGCTATGAGAACTCCGGGGGTTACTAGCTAATATGGACACAGTTTGATACCCAATCTTAGCTACATCTCTGAAGCTGCGGCTTGCCTTTTGGATCGGCAGCTGAAGACCTTTCTTGTGCCTTACACAGATGTTGTCAAACTGTCGAGCAAATCATTCCACTATGACTACTGGGATCGACGAGCTTACTATAAGAAGCACAAGCCATTGCCATCCAAGGTTGGCAGTTTCCAAGTGTTTCTTAAGGGTTTTCAGGGTTTGCCGCTTGTTTGCGCCCCACGCCCGGAGCCCCCGTGCTGATATCTTGGAGTAGATGCAAACGTTTTTCTACGAAAGCACCCATGGCCGGATCAGTTCAATTCATCGTTTCGAACGGACTCTGCTCCTAGAAGGCGAACACCTTGGGCGTCTGCATGTAGGCCTAGTGGCGCTGTCGATGATGATTCTGACGAGGAGTCCCACACTCCACTTTCAATGGATGATCCGGAAAATCGCCGGTTTGTATGGACCGAACAGCTGCAGCAAAACTTTCGTGAGGAGCTTGAGAAGCTCGTAATTCTAGATTATATTATGCGGAATACAGATAGAGGTTTGGATAATTGGATGATCAAAGTTAATTGGCAGACATCGGAGGTTACCGTGGTGTCCCAGCCAGCTCAGTTCAACGGGATGGCCTCGCCCCCACAAAATGGTAGTCTTGATCCCAACACGATCGGCTTGAACACCATACGTTCCGCATCCCCCATGTATCGAGTTCAGGAGCCAATGGTTGCAAGCTCAAGATCCGAAACACCTCAGCTGGGTGCGGGCGCTACAGTGACTATCGGTGCCATCGACAACTCATTAGCCTTCCCTTGGAAGCACCCTGACCAGTGGAGGAGCTTCCCTTTTGGATGGCTCTTCCTCCCGGTGTCTCTCATCGGCCAGCCTTTCTCCCAGAAGACCAGGGACCACTTTCTACCCATCTTGACATCTGCGAAGTGGTGGGCGGAAACTCAAACGCTGCTTCGTCGATTGTTTGAGCAAGATTCCGACTTCAAGGAGAGAATGTTCCAGAAGCAGATCGCGGTATTGAAAGGCCAGGCCTTCAATGTGGTTGAAACCCTGAAAGCACCCGACCAGGGTCCTCTAGAGTTGACGAGGAGAACGAGGGTCCACGTTTGGGTACGTTATATCCCTGCATGGGGCTTGCAGCCCGGTAGGGAGGTCAAGCAACAGCTGACTGAAATCGCAGGATGATGAAATGGAAGTTCCGGTTGCCGTTCCACTACGTGTGCCTACCACGTCAGATACTGGGCGTCGGCGGGAGTATGATCTTGAACAAGGTTTCAACGAACAGGCAGAGATGGATATAGGGGCCGCTGCCTCGTCGGCACCTCTGCCTCGAGAGGTCGATATACTAGGATTAGGACTCTCGCCGCCACGCTACGAGATACCAAGTTCCGTGAGGTTGGGAATATCTAGAACAGCTAGTATTGGGTCTAGCAATGGCGGCGAGCTCAGCGATCAGCAAAGTGCTCTTATTCCTGGTTCACCTCAGTCCACTGCGGAAACGGCTGCATCTAAATCGCCAACGGGACGTGCAGGTATCCGTGGCGGCGGTGGGGCTCCGAGTTCCCCAAGGCCCCAGAGACTAAATCACAAGAGCTTCGATGCTAGCGGTCGGAATGGGCTGTCTCGAAAGAAGGATGCTCCGGGCCTTCTTGATCCCCAAAGGCGGAGGTTCTCGCTGACAGGTGGCCTTGGTGGAGGCCCTCCGCGAAACGTATACAACGATGATGACGCAGAAGGCGATTTGGGATACTCGGCTGTTGGTGGCAGCGAAGGCGCGCAGAGGAAGGTTATCGTCGAGAGGTTAGAGGCCGTCAAGTCAAGGAATCCGGTATTCACTTGGTGTTAGAAAAGGGAGGGGAAAAGCTTTGCATCGGAGTAGTTTGGGTTCATGTTTTGTTTTTTCTCTTCTTTCTCTCTTTTTCTCTCTCTCCTTCCCTAAAGACTGGATTGGTTCTTATTTTATTAAAGCACTGGGTCGTATTTGAGTTATTTTTCCACCTTCTCTTCCTTCTTCCCTTTCGCTCTTGCCTTTCCTCCTTTTTTCCCGAGCTCAGGGTACGATACGCCGGTATTTAGTTTGGCGGCAGTGGACGTGCGAAACGTGCGGAAAAAATGAAAAAGGGAAGAAAGAAAAAGGAAGGAAGGAAGGATGGCACATGGCACAGGGAATGTATCGGTACGGTATGGGCTCACGAGGCTTGCTTCCTTCCGCCTATCTATCCACAATACGATATCAAAATATTATAGACTATCTCCCGAGAGGCACCATTCATCTTCGTTTAAATATCTTTTTTCTTTTTTTCATATTTTCCATCTAAACTGCATTTTCTCCCTACCGGTACAAGTATCCCTCTTGGACTGAACTTGTACTTAGTACTCGTAGGGGCACCAGATGATGATTCGCGCAATGCCCTGCCATATGCCCGTAGTAGCCATCAAGTCCCGTACAGGAGGGATCTAGCAAACTATCTGTGCATATCGAGCGTCCATACCGGTAGTAAATTCCGACTCGGATCACAAAGTTATTTTCCTTCCCACGAAGCTTCAGATGCTCGGATGCACTGCTTCGTACCGGATAAGCGGCGCAATACAGTAGGAATATTTAATTACACTTTCCGTACCTGAAGAACCATTATCACTATAAGAAATCGCGGGATAACGACGTGTGCCCAAATACCAGGCTCTCCCCCTACCGGTAACATACCGTACCACCAGGAACGGACTGTCGGAGCCTTGCACTTATGATACCCACTTGCCTCCATGATACCATGCTCTCCTGTGCATGCCATACCAGCAGCATAAATCATGACCCTACCATCCATCATCCATCCATTCATCCATCCATACGGTACTGTACCCGTATTCCGTTCCGCCCTATTCGTCATGTCGAAGCCTTTTTCCAAGGGAAGAGTTAGTCTACTAATGCTCGTCGTATCGCATACCACTAAAATTTGGCCCTCTCCCTCGGGTCTGGGTGGTATGGCATAGTGGTATTATTTTTTATTTTTTTTCCAAAACCGCTTCAAACACCGTGCCGGTACAGTGCAATACACTGCTATGTGTGGGACACTTGCTCACGTGCTCGTCTGGACGATAAGCTCCACGTATTATTTTTCTTTTTTCCCCTCTTCATTCCCCCAGCAGTCATCTTTATCGTCTGCTTGCTTGCTTTTGCTTTGCGGGCAAGGGTAGCCTTGCTTGCCCGCTCGTACTCTCACAACGCATTTTCCGTTACAACATTTTTTTTTTTTTTTTTTTGGCGTTGAAAGGGTAGTGGATGCGTGGGGGGTGGGAGGAAGGAAGGAGGGCTGAAGGGGGTTGTTGAAGGGTCCTCCTGTACGAGTACTGCGGTCGATATATGTAAAACTAACTTCGAGTTGGGGTATTGGAGCGCAGCTTCTGACGGTGGAGGATGGCTTGGCTTATCAGTTGGTGGAGGGGGAAGTCAGTGGATTACCTATGTACCGGTATATAAAGCACTACCGGTATTGGGAGCTAAGTAATGTTGGTGAATCGGGGTTGGGAGTGTATTGGCTGGTGGTGAGTTTTTGCACTTGTATGAGGGCATATGTGTGAGGTGTAGTATGGTGAGGGATTGGGTATCTCTAAGAGTTTTACGGTTTCCACATTCTCCCCTACTCCCCCCTTCATACCCTCCTCTCACGCTTTTTTCTATACATGGTTTGCTTCGGGAAAAGGGTTGGGAACAGAGTGTGGTAAAATTGGAGGGAAATGAATGAAAAGAGAGAGCGAAAAAATGAAAGAATTCAAGGAACTCCTAGAGCCTTACTAGCGGGCTCCCTTTTGATAGGTTATTTCAAAGCCGCCTGAAGAGTTTCGAGAACCTGTAAGGTTTAAAGCGTCAATTACCCGGTGAATCGGATTTCTCCTCGCTCACTGGCTCGCTCTCCCAACGTCACAGAATCCGGGGTTTGGGGAGAGGGGGTTAAAGCAAACCTCGAGCTCAATCTTGGCCTCCGCAATATCTTGTTCACTACCACTTCCGCTGGCAATCCTCTGCACCTCGGCGAGCTGAGCACGTACCGCCTCGGGACTAAAGTCCTCCAGAGGGAAGGCTTCGACGGCGTTTATACTCAATTGAGAGTCTGGCTGGACGACTGCAAAGCCGCCGGATACTAAATCCCACATAATGCTTTTGTCAATGAGGTGGGGTGGGCTGGTGGTTTTATCGTTAAGGGAGTTCACTAACGGAAGAATTGCTTGCTGCCGGCGCCCTCCTCGATGATATCAATTACGCCGGGTCGGAGCTGCTCAATCGACGGGACGTGGTTGGCGAGTATACCCATGTCGCCGGATTCGGCGGGGATGTTGACCTGAATGCTGTAACGTAGGGCTGTTGGTTAGTTATTTTGAGGTTTGTGATGATATACAACTCTCCAGCGCTTTATACGTATCTCCCTCCCTAAGCTAGCAGGGGATGAGAAGATCGTGATGGGGAAAACTCACACATCTGAAGCTTTGTAGATAGACTAGAAAGTAAAAACGAAACAGGACTCAGCAAACAAAATCAATTTTTGAAAGTCTCCGAGTGCTCTCAAAAAAAAAAAACAAAGAAACCACCCCACCTGATGAGGAAGCGTTAATGACAGCCGAATCTTGTCAGCCGGCCCCGCAACCTCGGCGTAGTTTCTGCGTGGAGCAAAAAGCGTCCTGGTGGGCTTCGCTCTGAGGGCGATCCTGCCAGCGGCTCTGAAAGAATTCATGTCCCAATCGATGAAAATGCGGGGGGCAGTGAAGAGGCGGAAATGGAGGGAGTCGATGTAGAGAGTGTTTTGTGATGCAGTGCGATGACGGTGGGTTGTCACGGTAGTCTAGTCTACCGGTAGCGGGTTTGCGGTGTGTGCCATCTCGGTTTCTGGAGAATTCTGCCAAGACTTTTCGTATGGTACAAATTTGAGGGTGCCCTTTGACGGGTTTGCGAATTTCTTCCTCCTCTCTTCTTCCTTCTCCTCTACCGCCAGTCTGTCCAACAGCATAATCTGTGCAATAACTTTCGATCCCTTCGACTAATTACCTTCAACTGCTGGAATTCCGGGTTATTCTTGATATTCGCAATGGTTAGTTACGAGGTTTGATTGGAATATATGAATTCTCACTGATGGTTTGTTCGTTTGCTAGGCTACTTCTCTTCGCTCTATCAAGTCACTTGCACCTCTCCTCGACCGCATATTGGTCCAGCGTGTCAAGGCCGAGGCAAAAACTGCATCTGGAATCTACCTCCCGGAATCCACTGTTGAAAAACTCTCTGAGGCCAAGGTCCTTGCTGTCGGTCCTGGAGGGACCGACAAAGAGGGAAAGAGAATCGAGGTATCTGTCAAACCTGGAGACAGAGTTCTGATCCCTCAGGTACATTATATATCCCGCTTCTGCTGTGGTGTAAATTGCCCATTGCTGACGGTGGTATCATAGTACGGTGGGAGCCCGGTCAAGGTTGGAGATGAGGAATACCACCTCTTCAGAGATCATGAGTAAGCCATTCGCTTCACTCCATTTGATGCAGCTGCTTGAGGTATCAGAGACTGACTTGGGGGTAGATTGCTTGCGAAAATCAACGAGTGAATGCACTTGAACCAGCCGGGTGTACGCTATCCAAAACAGAAGAGGGAACGGAGTTCTGGAATACTGATGTAATTTAGTAACATAGTCCCGTTCTACAGGATATGAGTTGTTGTTCGGCTCGTATTTCGATAGAATATACTGTATAAATTCGGGATCAATTTTTTGTTAAAACAAATCGAGAAATCTCCACTCAAAACCATTGGTCCTGCGGAGACTCCACGAAGTGAGGTTGTTCAGTGCAATTTTTGGTCAATGTTTCCATTGAGTTCCTCTATTCTCCATGCGTGGCCCTGGTATACTATCATAGTCCCTCTGTTCGGGTCTCTATCACGGTCGTTTCACGAAAGCGTTTTATGTCACAGTTTGAACGTGCGTTATGGCTTCCCGCAATAATGCACAATTCGTTAGGAGAAGCGAGGATAGCTTAAAGAGCCTGATATCCTCACGAAGGGCTGCCCCAGGAGCACCCGAACAATGCCAGTGCTCCAGACCATCGGCCTGTCCAGAGTTAGGAAACCAAAACCATAAGTGACATTCCGTGATCCCACCCCACCTTTTTATTATAATAACTCATTATGGTGGGAAGGGAAAAAAGGGAGAGCCCCACCATGTGGCTTCCCGCCACATTAAACCCTGTCATCACCAGCCACAGTGATACGAAATCCAGGAATATTTCCTGAATTCGACCATCCGTGACCTGACGTTTTCCCTTAACCCCCCCTAAACTATCATCGCGGTACCTGCACAACACTACCCAATTCGCCATCAACGAACACAACAAAACAATGTCTGGCGTAGCAGCTAATTCTGGAAAGTCCGCCCTGAAACAGGGCGCGAAGCGCGACCCTGAACTTTATGTATGGAATCCTTTCCGTTCTTCTGAGCCCCACTTCGCCCCCCCCGCCTCTCCGGTTATTCGGTAGCTGGGAACTAACCTGGTGATGGAGACAGATTCTCTTCGCCGTAATGTCCGGTGCTTTCGGACTCGCCGGTTTTTACTTTGGTAAGTTTTGTCATTTGCCCCACCTGTTGCGGAATGTGGGATGGGGATTTAACAAATTACGGTGTGATAGGACGAAAGCCTACCTCGGCAACATCCGAAGAGGGCCGTATCAATGTTGCCAAGGGTGGAATGCCGTGGCATGGCGAGTCGACCGAGGCTTCTGCTAGGGATCAGTTCAAGTACTCCATCCTTCGTCCTTCTGTGCAGTACTTGGGCTTGTTCGTTGATGTGGGTCGGAATAACCTAGGTACAAGTACCATCCCGGCGGAGACGCCAGGAACCCGCCCAAGGATGCCCCTAGCGCTTTGCACACCGTCATCGTTCCCAACGTCAACCTGCCAAAGGTATGTTTCCCTTTCCTCAGCTTGGTATGTAGGATAATGGTTAATTGGGTCCTCAGGAACTTCACGATAAGTACAACAAATGGGGCAAGGACGGATACTAAACCACCATATCGCTCTGACATGGCCTGCCGGTCCTCGCTGGCGGCGTGTTCTTTTCCTTGTATACCAAAATTGATGCGCGAGGTTGTATAGAGTGGTCTGGGGGCCTTCTTGTTTTCTTGTTCTATTACTTTCCTCTTGTTCAATGGGGATCGGGGATGGGGCCGGCCGGTTGGGAATGCGGGTATCCGAGTGGGATTGGGGTGGGCTAGCCTTCAATTCATCCCCTGTTTTCAGATGATCTTGCCCGCTGTACAACATTCATGATGGATAAAAACCGTTCTCTCAACAGGCTATGGCATTGCACAAATTGTTGGTGTTACAATATGTCTCGGCAGTGCAGGGAATGATGGTTCATGGAGTATCACCCAGAATAATGTCCGGCACTCGGGGCATCTCGGCCTTGGACCGGTACAATACCTCCCCATGAGTGCAGGCTATTGTATTACCTCCGGCGAAACATCACAGATCCGGACACATGACCCCATGTGCTGATGTGACCCCACCCGATCATATCACCCCGAACTCCATACAGTACGGTACTTGCATCCACCCTTAATTACCGGTGCCCCAACCCAGGATCTCCCGGGACCCCTGTGAGCTGAACGAGTGCTGCTGCCGTGCAAACACTGGCTCCGCACGCACCGTACCGGTAGACCCCGGGACTTACGGACCATAGCTTCCCCCTTCGGACACGACGAATTGGGAACTGATACAAAAGTATCCTTGCCCGCAGACCCCAGTACCTTCTTGTACGAGCACAATAGATGGATGACTCCGCGATATGACGAGACGCTCATAAGGCCCTTCAGAAATGCCCCACGGACCGTTGATTCCTTGCATGGGGTGACTGACGGTGACGCGAGCGGTTTCCCCCCCCCCACCGGAGTTACGGTATTCTATCCCGTAGCCGGCATTTGCCACACTCACGGATTACCTTTATCAACCTGCGGGGCGGAGTTGCAGGACCGCTGTGCATATACGGTATCGTGCACGATCGGATTTCCGAGATCTTGTTTGGAGGAGGATGTACGGTAGGTCTTTGAACGACTCGCTTGGGTATGGTGAGATCTGAAGGTTTGGTTGCTTTTTGGTATTATACTCGTAGGTCCCTTGGTAAGGAGTAGAATACAGTATTGTGCTCGTACTGTACTGGTATGATGCTCGATCTTGGAGAGTTTTTTTCTTTCTTTTCTTCCCTTCTTTTCTTTCTTTCTTTTTTTTCTTTTTTTCCTCTCTGCTGACGGCCTGTCACTTATGCAGCGATAGCAGTATCGTAGTCGTTCTTTTCGGGCGACTGGTTGGGGTGGGCGGGGGGCCGAAAACTCCCAACTGTGCCGGAGTAAGCTTGAAAGGTAGGGAATCACCTCTCGTATATATACACGGATATTCCAAACTAGCCTGAAATAAGAAAGGAGTTCCCGCCCCCACCCCCAAAGTGAAATATCGGTATCATATATGCAAGGGGTAACATACTCGTACATGTACGAGTACAATATTATGGAGTGTCATACCTTGTATGGTAGTATTTTGGCACTTTTTTTTCTTTTCTTCTTCCCCAGGCTGAGGAAAATCCTGGCATGGATAGCGGTCCCCAGCAGGGCCAACTGCTATCATACCAGACCACAGTATATACCAGTCGTGGATGGCAACCAATTTGTCATGCCATACCATTCATTCTACAGGAATTCAAGCTCCCATCGTTTCAGGATCGGAGGCCACTCCGTTGATCGCCCAGATGTGATCTTTCTCGCTGCTCATGTAGATGGTAGATGTAGAGAGAGAGAGAGAGAGCTTCCCGACTCGCGGAAGATATCAAAGGCGTTTTCCGTCGGGGGATCCGGGGGTGTGCTTTTGAGGGCGTGTATTTCTGAAACCGTCCCTATCCCGATATGATAGAGGGCGTGTATAACGCACTTCTTGGTTGGTTGGTTGGTTGGTTCGGTCCCCCCCCCAACTATAATACCTAACTACGGTAACTTACGAGCACGATACAAGTAGTATGATGCTAGAACTAATAGCCAAAGATCTGGGAAAAAAGGGGGGAGCATATTCATTTCCCCGGCACTGTTTTCTGTCTGTAGGAGCCATGGCTGCACATACGCGTATCAGGTTACTAGTATCATATCCACCGCTTTCCCCACCTTTCTCATATATATACTGTTGGCTGCACCCCATCGGCCAACAGTTACCAGCACAAGGCTCCAACTTCCAATCCATGCAAGTTACACTGCATTATACAGCACTGAGGGTACCACACCCTACGAGGAAGAAAGAAAGAGAGGAACGAAAAAGAGCGCCCCTAAATATCCATAGATCTAACATCAGAGTGATACTATATGACCAAGACCACACCGCACGACATAAACGCGCCATACCCTACCGATCGAAACGTTTTTATAAATCCTCACCCAAAGCTATCGTACGGTATGATGCCAACTACGGACAGCGAAAAAAAACAATCCCCCCCTCCGGACTGATAGCAACTGTCGTTGGTGTGGTGTTGTGGAGTGGGAGAAAACTTCCGTGTTTTTTTTTGCTCTCGACTGACTGATTGGCCGTAGACTATATACAGGTAGAGAGCGCTCCCAACACACAAAAGCAGGAAAAGACCTAAACAGAACACAACCCTTATACCTATCATGCCCTCAAACCAGGGGTTGACCCTCCTCCCCAATGGCCACCAGATGGGATTATCATACATCTATGATATCACGGACAGCATCATACAGCGGAGGGCAAAAATACGTTCACATAATATTATCATACCGCATTTTTTTTTTTTTTCTATTTTAGTTTTGACCCGAAATCAAACATCCAGGCCGAAAAAGAAAAATATATATATATAAAATGAAGAAGTTAGAAAGTTCTCTAATCACCTGGTTATTATAACAGTTGATCAACTTATATATATATATATATATATTCCCGGTAACCATAAGGGAATCGAGGTGACAAAAACAGACTCCAGAATCAAGGTATCGTACGCCGACTTGAAGAGGGTGGTTTGGGGATCACTATTGAGAAATTATTTGATGTTTGCAAGGGACCAACCGGGACCTGATGATCCAATGGAGTTTTTATTTTTATTTTTACCTTTCTTCTGAACGTTGTGACATAATAACTGGCGGAAAGAGGGTGCGGTTTGGATGAATGTGGAGGGGAGGGGAGGGTTTCCTCCTTGTTGATTGATTGCTATCGTAGAGGGGTTGTTGTCTATATATCTATATATCATACGAGCCAGAGACAAAATTGGCCGCGCCACCGAAGCCGTCCGAGTGATCGGTTGTAATCTAACTCTCCGGCCATCTATCTACTCGAGTACATGCCTGATAATGCCTTAGTCTACTAGCAGGTAGGGGGGACAAGGGGGGGCTGGGGAAAGAGGGCAAGTGGCAGGGAGGCAGGCCGTATGGGGATGGGCGGTAGGATAGGAGGGGAAGAGGAGTGGGGAAGCCCACAGTCAGTACTGTAGGCGTATAGTGAACAGCAGGAGCAGGATGAAGTTGGTGAAAAAGGAAATAGAGGATGTCGGGGAAGAGGTGTCTTTACTGAATTCATTGGTAGATATCCAGTTCAAGATGATACGCCTTCAAAGTGTTTTCTACGGGGTAAGCTGCATGTATAATAGATAGCATTATCATACTACTCGTAGATGACCAAAGACCGAAAGCCCGCCCAGCTTCGAGACACTGGCATGGTCAACCATTCCTATCATTCACTCGACTCGTCGCTGCCCCCTCAGTAAGCTACCGGGCTACACCATTTTGATACTTAGTTTGATTCTGGGCTTCACTAAGTATAAAAAAAAGCGGCATTGTACGGGTATCCACGGAGCTCGCTCAGTTAGGGGCGGAAGGGGTTCCTGCCCGGAGTGCTGGTGGCGCGAGCATGACAGCGGGCGGAAGAATTTTTTTCTTTTTCGCCACACTTTCTTTTAACTTCGGTGGGGGGAGAGGGGTTAGCCAGGGGCTGTACTGTACGGTAGAGGGTTCATGATGCCGAGTTATCGTTCAACGCCAGTACGATCGTGATGGGGTGATGTTTGCGAACGAAATCGCTATTGCATACCGTACCTCCCAGACCCGAGAGGAAAAGGCTAAAATTTGGCGGTATGCAATGCCGGTCGTGTTTCGCAAACGTCAACCCGCTACAAGCAGTGATGTACGAGTGCTCGTACTGTACAGTACGGTGTGCGGGTAATTATGATTAAGTCGTGTATGATACTATCGCCGTATTGGGTATTCTGCTTCTGTGTTATAGTTGCTACGTCTCTCGTGGCGGGATTCTGGCATCACTATTGCGGAGAAACTACGGAGTATATCACGAGAGTGCGCTCATTGACCTACAGGCCGGTCGAGTCATGTCGGAGTGGTCGGAGCGCACTTCTCATTTGGGACTCTTGATGAACAACGGGATACCGTATGTTACGCTAAAGAAGGGATGGGGATATCGTGAAATGCACTGAATGAATCAATGGACGGACCGACGAACGCCCGCAGCCGAGACTTAGATCGAGCGAGCGCTTATGACTACGAGCCACCGCAGACGTGCCGCCCTCGCGAGGGTAAACCGAAAAAAAAAACATCCAAGAGTAAGTGAATGCCAACGTCCGCACCACAGGAAAAAAAAAAGGGGGGGGAGATTCCAATCCGGTGTTAATCTTCCAATTACATGAGGTAGATGTTCCAGCCAAGAGAGCAAACCTTCGGATAAATACCCTGTGCCACAAGCATATCCATGTTCCTAAGTTGTGATGCCTTTTGTTCATGTTTTGAAGGAGGGGGATAGAAAGCCCAAACAACTATTCATCGTCCCTAGGGGAGACCAAAGATGCAGAGTACGGAGGAGGGACCACTAGGGGTTTAATCCGCCGGGCTTCTGCTTATCGGAGAGAGGGGAAAAAAGAAAATAGAAAAGAAAAAAAGAAGAAAAAAAGAAGAATTATAGGGCGATAGCGGTAAAAGCAGTGCTATCATACCAATGAATATTCGAACGCCTGTAAACCCAAACCCAAACCCAAACCCAATCACGATCCCAAACCAAGTAACCCAGTAAATCAAATCTATCCTGATTTTGATGTTGGCTCCAGGCCACCATTTCTACCCATATTTTCACCATCCAAGCGTCTCACCGAACGCCTATTGGTGGAAAAGCCTCTCTGCAGGACCGACTTCGCTGTAGACTTGAACGCTTCCATTGTTGACGCCCGCATGAGTGGTTCTCGGTCGGCCAGCGAGACCGAGCTGACACTGATCTTGACAAAAATCATTGAAAAAAGAAACTGCTCTCCTTGAAGATCATGAAGGGGTAAGTGTCGGTAGCCTTTTTGGAGGTTAGCACCCTTGGACGCTTCATGGGGCATTTTGAGCGATATCCTACCTTGCTGAAGAGAGAGGAGTTTCGCGGTGTAGGTAGCGATGAGCGTTCGGTCACTCGAATCACCGTCACCCGCATTGTATACTGAGAACCTTACAAATACCAATTCTTCGAACTTGGTCGTGACTTTAAAGACCATTTTCTCTCCGAACACGGGGTGGAAGCCGTCATCTTTCACCACCTTTGTTCGTCGTTTTTGGGGAGCCCCGAGCCCGCTGATGCCTTTGGCGTCGCTTGAATCAACCCCAATCCCACCTTCGGCTGCCGACTTATCCTTCGCCTTGTCATCTGCAGAAAAAACTTCCACTACCACGAACGGATGAAGGCCTTTGTCCTTGTGATCCTTCGGCTTTGGTAATTGCTGCGCGGAAATTATTTCGACGGAAAAGGTTGTCACTTTCTTGTTCTTTGCCAGTGTTGTGGCATGTGCATCTGCCGGCGGGTCGAACGTGGTCCTGGAGCCTCGGAGCTCTTTTGGTTTCAGAACATATCCGCCACGATCTTCCTCAGAAGCAAACATGGCTTCGTTGATTTGCAAGCCCAGGTCGTAAGTTTGCCAATTGAGAGCGGCCATTTGAACCCCCCGACGCCAGAACCCGATTGGGTCGAAGTTCGAGGAGTTGACTCGAAACCCAGACGGGTAGACTCGCATAAGGTACCGAACATTGTGTTTCTCCAATTGAACCTTCTTCTCCGGATCCCTTGCAAATTTCTCGAACTTCTTCTCTTGAAAGGAGAACACATGGTTGGGGGTTTTGCTTTCTGGAGGGATGCCATAGTCAGCATCGGTCGGGGAATGTGAAGTGTAAAATAAAATTAAAAAAAAGGGCTTACCGGGCAGCGCAAAGTTCGAAAACCGCTGTCCTCTAGCGTAAACGCCTAAAGAACCTAATTCGTGCGCAATTTTCACAGATTCCTGCCTCCTCTTGACCTTGCCTTCATCCTGGCCTTCGGACTCACTTGTGGAACTGCTGTTCTCGCTTGGCACGCCACTCTTAGGAAAGGGGGGCTGAGATGAAGGGTTCTGGGAATTGTTGGCGCCCCAGGCCCGTTTCTCCATCGAAGCGAAGTCGTTGTTTAACATTAGCGAGTCTTGCTTGGAGCTGCTTTTGACCTTGACCAAAATCTTGTTCCTTAACACCTCCGGGCTCGGTAGAATTAACGTGTTTGTCATGAAAGGCTCAACAACAAGCGCGTCACCCAGGACACTACGAAGTATTTTTGCCATCTCAACCTGTTGTTCCAAATCGCAATGGACTTCTAACGAGAGTATGACAGGAAGGGTGGAAGCAACGAAGGAGTACTTTTTGATGGCCGTTATAACGTCCAAAAAGAGAATATCGGAGGTGCCGGTGTGGCCGTGGGTAACGATTGGTCTACCATCATCACCATCCCAGCAATCGATCTCAACGCACCGGCAACCACGTTTGAGGACGCGGATGTAAGCTTCAATCGATGATTCGCCGGCCACCTGCCTACCCAAAAGATAGGTGTTGTGTGAACTAGATATATAGTATTCGTTTAGCGGTCGATCGAGGTTGTTGCCCAGTGGCGCGGGGAACAATGGGGGATTATAGGATGAAGACAGAAGGAAATCGGAAAAAGCGTCCATTGACATCCGGACAGCTGATCCTTCCTTCTGGGTGACCTGCTGTTGGGATGAAGACGGCCGGGTGAATTTTCGAAAGATTTTGTCGATATACATCGGGTCGGAGTCGATGTCCACCTTCTGCTCTTCTTTAAGGAAGGTACGAAATTCGTCAACAGACATCCCAGCCTTTCTGTCGGTGACCGCGTCCTTCCAAATATCGACGATTTCGTCCCTTTGCTTCAACAACCGAACAAATTCACGAAACTCAACAAAATTCAGAAAGCCGGATTTATCTTTGTCGGATTGCTTAAACCTGTCTTTCAAAAACTGTCTTGAGCAGTTGACGTGTAATCTTCGGCACAGCCGTTCCACATCTTCAAACCCCAGCTTCTCGTCGTTCAAATTGGGAGTTTTTGCGGGACACTGAGACTCCATATAAGTTCTCCACTGAGCATCAACAAAGTTCTCCCCGGGCATTGACAAACCGGCCATCATTTCCGTCCTGTACTGCATCACTATATCCAATGTGGCTGCCCAGAGCTCCAGTGTGTCAACGGTAGGTGCAATGAGGTGAAGAGTCTTAAGCTTCCCGGTCTCTGGTTCGGCATATATTATAGTGGCCCATCTGTCCTCCACCTCTGATGAAACTTGGAATTCCTCTCGGTAGTTTCGTGCATCCGCCCCCAGCCTAACCTCCTTAATATCGTCGATATAGAATCCGGACGACTGCTTCGTAATATCCCAGGTTACTCTGGTGGGATCTATGGAAAAAATTCGTTGTGCCTTCTTCTTTCTCGTAACCCTAGTCATCGCCGTCCCGTCCTTCAAGACATCGGGTATCAAAACTCCAATGGCCCCGATCGACTCATCTGGGTGGGAAGCTTCCACGCCAGTGTTGGCCCTCGCTCCATCTTCCTCTCCCTCAATAGCTTGTTCGTAATCCCTGTCATCGAAAGGCTCGTCCTTCTTCTGTATGCCGAGACGTCCGGTCTCTCCGCCATTGAAGCTGTCGCTTCGAAGCCGCGCGAGAACTGGCCCGCTTCGCTCCTCCGAATCCTTCGGGACGGAGGGTGATGCCCTTCTTCGTAGCTTATTCGAAACTCTCCTGATTAAGCTCGTTTTTGAACGTGGTTGGGTTTGTATTTTGGGAGGATCGGTACTATGGGTGCTGGGGGGTGCAGTGGAGTGGGTGATTATGGTGGGAGATAAATTGGACAGGGAGTCTTGCCGGACGTGGGTAAGATCCGACGAGGAGGAGGAGACATGCTTTGACCTGCCGGTAGGCCATGTCTTTGGTGGCCAGAAAGCCATTCCTGCTTGAAAATCGTTGTTTAGAGGGGGAGAAAGGGTGGTAGGGGAAGATATCAACGATGACACGGAGTTTATCGATTGCCGGTAGGACAGCGGTTCGGTGGAGGAAGGACTGGCGACAAGCTGCGCCTGGAGTATGTTATCGGACTGGACACCAAAGTACTGGGGGTGAATATGAAGGTCAGTTGGGCGGTGTCGAGGGGGGGATGTTTCGGCCATGGTGAGGATAGGGCGCGACTGTACGAGTACAGAAGCGAAAAGTTATGATAGGTCCTGGAAATTCCTACGGCTGGGAGGGAGTACAGGAAGGGGGGGAATAGTATTTCTACAAGGTCTCTCCAACAGCGAGCCCCAAGGAGCTTTGAGGAGCATTCCCCCGAGTTGACGGGGCGGGTCTGAGAGCTCAGCAATCGATAGAGGAATTATGTGGGTGAACTGGCGACCAATGTGGCCATCGTTCTGAAATGAGCTGAAGAGGTCCCACGTGTACGCCGAATGATCCGAAAGGATGGGGACGCAGCGGATAGAGGAGATCTTACTGATAGCTTGAAGGTGGAAAAAAAAAAAAAAAAAAAAAAGAAAGGAAGAAGAAAGTATGACGCGAAGGCTACCTAGGAAGTTCCGGATCCTCTACCTCCGCAGAACTGTGTACCGTACTGTAATGTACCGTAGCAGCGAGCGCTATGTATGGCTCAATGGTAGAAGATGGACTGTCCTCCAGGTCGAGAAACCGACAGCCAGCGAAAGGCCTACCAGTAGCGCGGGGGGCAAGAAAATACAATCCTTTCTTTTTTTTGTTTGACTTTGTTTGGTATTTCTTTCGAGAGCCTTCGTCAGGTTGAACGTTTTGAATGGTGCAATGTGCAACGTGGTAAGAAAAGGGGAAAGGAAAAAATGACAGGAGGAATGGATACCGGTGTATTATTATTATAATTGTCCAGTTCACACAACACTCTCGTTTGCTTCGGCTGACGGTGCCTGGACTTGGATTTCAATGGCAATGGAGAGGGGTTGGTTCCCCTGGGCAGTGTGCGATAATCTCGACTGAATGAGGACATGGAGCCGATGACTGCCGATTGACAAGCTTACTCTGTACTCGTACGGTACTCGCGTAGTATCATGCTGCATGAGAGTCTATCGGTCCAGGGCTTAGTGGGGTGTCTGTGTGAGCCAGGGAGGTCTGCGGCGTCAGCGAGCTGGTGCCCTGTACGAGTAGGGTAGCTCTTACAGTACGAGGTCCAAAGATGGCAGGAAATGCTGGGGTGTTTGTTGGGGGTGGTGTGCTGCCCTGTACGAGTACTCGTACGAGTATCATAGGTTCTGTGGGAAGTGC